ATAATGAAGAGAGAATAAACAATATAATTGTTTGTAAGTGATAACTAAGATGAAATTCAATTCTCATCTTATCCTTAAGGTCTTTTATAACCAACCCAATTAATAAAACCTTTTTAATAAGATGCTCTAGCCCATTTTCTTGATAATAGATGATATCTAAATATATGCCATATTCATGAAGATGAGTGGATAAAATTATTAATATTTAATTAAATTTTTTTATTCTAAAGTGCAACAAGTATCTTTATTTTTTGATTCCAGCTTCTTTGAATAATTATCTAATTATCATCATTTTTCTATTACTATAATCTTTGCTTTCTCACTTTTTCAATTTTTCATTAAAGACAAAATATAATTTTAAATTCCTTCATGTGTTTTTATTGATAAAGTTACCATCGTATATCTAACAAATGTAATGCTATTATTACTTTTTGCACACTTTACAAAATTTTATTTAAATGATTTTAATTTCAATTTTTTATAACTGTTTTTTGTTGATAGTTACTATTCTTATAATCAATGTATCATTTATCTTTTTAATTGTTTTAAATTTAATCTCAATCCTTCAAAATACTATTTATTATGATACAATTAAATTCATTTATATTAAAAATGAATTATTAAACAGATTAGTTTACAAATACCAAAGCCTAATTTTCAAAAATAACTGTAACCTAAGTTCTTGAACATCTACATAATTGTCGATTTCCTACAACTGAACCTGAAACGAATTAATTCATCCAAAATTATAAGGTAGTATAGCTACAATATTCAGTCAGCCTTTAATTATAGAGGATTACGAGGATTTGATAAATAGTCCCAATTTTACAATCATTTTTGAAAAACAAAACCTCTTTTACGGTATTGTAATAAATGGTAAGAAGAATGGACTTGGAGTTCAATTTAAAAATCAAAAAAGCATTTTTGAAGGTGTTTGGATAGATAATTAGAAAAATGGAAGAGGTATTGAGCTATTTTTTAATGGCTCTTACTATTTTGGATAGTATTAAGATGGAAAACCTGAAGGCTTTGGGAAATTTTAATGGCAAAACGATGAAACTTATGAAGGATAATGGTTTTAAGGAAAGAAACATGGTTCTGGTATTTGGAAAGGATCTAAAGGAGATTCCTATATTGGAGAATGGAAAATGGGAGTTCCTGATGGTTATGGAGTGCATCAATGGATTAATGGTGATCGTTATGAAGGAGAATTCAAAAATTATTTAAAGGATGGTTATGGAACTGAAAAATTCATTAATGGAGATACTTATATAGGATAATATGAAAAAGGTAAGCCGAATGGAATTGGAGAATATTTTTGGAATAATGGAGCTGTTTATAAAGGAGAATTTAAAGATGGATTAAGACATGGAAAAGGAATTTGGAAAAGAGGAAATGGATTATCAGATTCTTATAAAGGAGATTATTAAAATGATTTGAAATAAGGATATGGTATTTATTCATGGGCTGATGGAAATCGTTATGAGGGATCATTCTCGAATGATTTAAGAGATGGTTAAGGTAATATGTATTGGAATGATGGTTCTTTTTATTAAGGGTAATGGAAATAAGGAATTTAAGATGGTTAAGGAATCTTATCACTTAATTAAGAACTTATTAAAGGAATTTTTTATGGAACTAAAGTCATAGAAATTATTGAAAATACCTAATTACATACAAATTTAATAAAAAATAAAATTCCTCAACTTGAAACTAATTCAAGATAAACATCATATTCAACAGATGATTATCGTCAGAATCAAAATTATTCGTTAATGGATAAAAGAAAAAATTCTACTGAATATAGTACAAAAGTAAATTCATTTACTCAAACTTACAGAGATTCCAATTCTATAGAATCAAGATTGTAAAATATACAAGCTACAAAGAAAACAGGTGTAATCAACTCAAAATTATTGAATTAAATAAATTTAAGATTTCCAAAAATGCAGCAAGAGTAATCCAATAAATAAAAAGTATAGAAAAAATTGTGGAAACCTACAGGAGTCCCATAAAATGTTAAATTTTGATTAGTTAAATAATCATTACTATTTTTAGAGTGGATATTTCTTATCTTCCATTATTTTTTTAATAAATTATGGGATACGTTATTAATTTTATTCCAAAGATCTTCATATATGAATTAGATATACTTTCTAAATTCATAAATCATTTTCTAGCCTTTAAGCATTTCCTTTAAAATATCTGATCGATGCTTGTATTCAATATTTCTTTCAAGATCTTTAGGTAAATCCTTTTCAAATGGATTATATTGTGTCGATCCTGCATGCATATTTTTATAAAAATGGTTAGGATCTAAGACCTTTAAATTATCGACTATTTACCTTGATATTATTCTTAAGCTAAATTAACTTTTTGAATAAATCTTTAATCATAAGGGATATACCATTTATCATAATATTATTTCTCATCAAGCTTAAGATATGGTAATGATGGTTATTTAGTTCTGATCACCTTCTTTCTAGTTTTAATATTAGTTTTTTATTCTATATTATTAAATTGTTCTTACTTGGAATCAATTTTTGATTTGCCTCAGTGATTTATACTTCACTTTTCTGCATTCTTTTTTAAATAGAACGCTGAGCATTTAAATCTAATTCTGTTAAAAAATTCAATCCTTCTGATTTTATTCTTTTTGTCAGTAGGAATGGTGGAGATATTTGGTAAAAATGACTTGAGAAACTGGTCTTTTGAGTTTACATTTATTTCAAAATATAATATAATTTAATAAATTATTTTATCAGCTATTAATATATTTAGTTAAAATTCTAAGATAAAGTTGACCTATTAATATTTAGGTTCAATTAATATTTCATTTGAATTGGCTGTTATATATGAATAGTCAAAATAATAATTGACTCTTGAGCAAAGTTATACTAAATAAAACAAATAAAATCAAACCAATTGATAGTAAAATTTAACAGAATAATTCTCAAATAAGTTCGTTCAATTTCTTTCATATTTTTATCTTTTATTTCTAAAAAAAAAATAAACAAAAAATCTGGAGCAGTAAATACTTAAATCTATTACCTAAACTGAGAAAAAAATAGCCTTAATTTATTTGTAGCATGATATTTTTGATCAATATCTATTCAAAAAGATTTATCTCGGAAAAATATAAGTTATATCATAAGATCGAAAGTTATTAAACAGATTTAATAAATTTCTTTACCACTAGAATTATAACATTCAATCCATTAATCAGTAGAGATTCAGAATTTAAACTTTACATAATCTATATTTTAGGATAGTATAAAATTTATCAAAAAGATTTCTTATTTTACCGATAGAGAATTGCTCACTTAAAATTTCTTTAAATTATAAATTCAAAAATATTATTATTGTCCTACCTCTTTGAAATGCTAGTCGCATTTTAATTCGGTAATTATTTTCGAAATATCTCTGCTTTAAAATGTACAAGCAAATTTGAATGAATTTTGGAATGAACAAAAAGATTTAGGCTAAATTTGAGGATATGAAAAATTTGATATAATTGATAATCTAAGAACAAAAAAGAAACTTTAAGAATAATAATATGTAAGATAAGGTGATAATTTGAATTATTATTATTTTTGAATCTTTATATATTATTGATGAATGTTTTTTCGAAAGGAAAATAAATTTTATTAATTGATAAATCTTAGTAGAAACTCATATTATGAAAAGAATTCGGATAACAATTAAATCATAAAAAATAGTTTGCTTCAAATAGAGTAGAGACAATTATCTGAATCATTAGCCAAAATAATTGTAATAGAAAATATTGATTTATTTAAGATTGATTTGAAGATATATTAAAATAAGGAATTCGTCTTTAATTACTTATTTTGTTTATATGTATTTTAAAAATAATAATATTTTGATTATAGAGAATAAGACTCAAATTTGATTGGTATTAAACTTAAATTACTTATAATCATTATGTTGAGTAAAGAATATAAGTATAGTAAGAAATATAAGTATATATTAAGAAATCATTAAAAATAATTTTAAATTCTCTCCTTAAAAAAAAGTGAACATGAGAAATTTTCTTCTCTAAGCCAAAATCTTTTACATTTAGCAATTCCTTACAATAAAAGGATTATGGAAAAAGTCTTTTGAATTATCAATGATGTTATTGATTATGGAAAATCTTTAGTTATTTTCACTAATAACTCAATCAATTAATGTCCTCAACAATGCTAATTATTTCAAGCCCATTCATTCATTACTTAACTTATTTCGGTTGTTAATTTATGATATACAAATTTAGGCTTTATTCAATTGTTGGAGAATAAATTGAAGTACATATAGGGTATATGTTTCTTGGGTTTTTGCTGACGCTCTGCACATTTATGTTTTTTATCCATTTAATTGGAAACACAAGGATTATTACTAAAAATAATTAACAAATGTTAGAAATGCCTCTTGAACTTGTAAATTCGATCTTTTTATTATTTTAGAATTAGATAAAATAAATTGAGAAAAATAGAAAAATAAAAAAGTTCATTTCCTTATATATGCAAATATATTAAACAATAATTAGAATTCCACTTTAATATTCACATTTTCATATATTAGCATAATATTCACTTACAAGTATAATTTATTTTTATTAGATTCACCTACTTAGTTTATTCTTATTGGAACTAGTGTGAGTGTTTTTTCAATCACACTGCAATTAATATTTAGTTTTTTTATTGATCTGCATAGTTTTGAGTTCAAAATGAAAAAATAAGATTTTTTAGGAACATTTAATACATAAAAAGTGCATATAATTTTTGCTTTTCAAACTTTGTTGATAATTCTTTTAGGATTTGAGGTGTAATCAATTGTAATTCAGATATTTTATATAATCTTTTTGTTTATGAATATAATTTTCAGTTACAATTAGCTTGTATATGTTGAAATTTAATTTTCAAGAATATAATTACATATTTCTTGTTATATACTGATATATGAAATTACTCTCTTAATTGCATAATATAGAAATATTAGTTTTGAATTGAATCTTATAGGATTGATGTTGTTTGGTTATCCTTTTGTCTCATATATTCTTAAAACTATAATTGAGAGATAAAAATTAAAATCTTTAAATTTTTCATCATAATCTTTAGAGAAATAACTTAGAGTAATTTATTATTTATTTAAAAAATAAATTAAATTAAAAAAAGAATAAAGATCACTAGATCCTCTTGAAGCTTTAGCTATGTACTCTTTCATTTCAAATCATTTGAGATATTGTTCATTAAATAGAGATAGAAAATTATAAAAATAGATAAAAATGAGATTTAAATGTTTTTGTGAAGAATTTGCTGACAGAGATAATTTTAAATTTGATTCAATTTAAGAAATGAAAGTGTTTGCTAAAGAATTAATTGCATAAACTCTAGAAGATGAAATATTAGAAACTTAAGATACATATTTAGCATTAATATATATTTACTTTCTTGTTCAAGTTAAAAAATTACCAACCTAAGCTATTTATGAAGTAATACGACTTTCATTATCATCTTAAGTAAATTCTTGATTATTATAAAGGATATGGCTTTGAAAGAAAAAGCTATTATTTATAAATTAAAATATGATGCTTTAGAAGAATTTGATAGTTTAGTTAAAAAAAATGATTTAAAAAATTAGAAGTATGTTTTTAAAAGAGTCTATTAATATGAAGAATCATTATCAGTCATCAAATCAAATATTCATTTAATAGTTCGTTAATTTAAGGTAAAACAAATTTATTTTATGTAGGAATGGTATGGTTTAATCTTAACTTCAGTGATTGATATAGATTAACTTGTGATAATAGGATTTAATATTTTAAAGAATATAAAATTTGTAGAAACTTAATTATAGAATGCATTTTAAATAAATCCACTTTCTAATGAGTGTGATACTTTGTATAATTTATTCGCAAAATATCTATAATTTAATAAAATAAGACCAAAAATGTATAGACAAGATGGGAAATTAGTTTAATAATTCATGCATTCAATAGAGAAGACAATTTTTGATCCTGGGAGTTGTGTAATATAAATAACATTATTATAACCAAGAGGAAATGTATTAAGATATACTAGGTCTTTTTAATAAGCAATTGGATTTAAAGATGAAGAAATAAAGGATTAAAATATTCATAGATTTATGCCATAAATAATAGCTGATGATCATGATAGATATTTAGATAATTTTGTAGAAAGAGGTAGAATTATAGTAGTTAGATCAGAAGTTAGAGTTATATTAGGAAAAAATAAGGGTTAATTTTTAATACCAATAAATACTAGATTAAGAATTGAAACTAGTCCAACTGAATTTGGAGCAACAGCATTAATAACACCTGTGAATTTAACATTTGGTTATATGATGTTGAATGAAAAAGGGTAGATAGAAGAAATAACTTAAAATATTTTTGAAGAAATGTTTTAAAAAAATTTAGGAATATAAATAGGTTAATTAAGAGGATTAGATTGTTTATTTTTTATTCCTGATTTGGCTAAAATTTGGGAAGAAATTTATGATGATAATTTTGACAAATTAGATAGAAAATTTGATTGTTAATTTATAATACCAATGGTTTCATAATCTAGGAGTATGTCTCAATCATAAATATCAAAAGGAATTTAAAAAAACCTTATTTAAAAGTAAATATATAGAAATTTTGAAAATTAACCAACAGAAAATGCAATTTATCAAGTTAATTTACATGTAGTGAGTTTAGTAACAATAAATTTGAAGTAATTTTATTTTAATAATTTTATTTAGATTAGTGATTTTAGAATTGTAAGATTTTAGATTGCTTCCTAATTAAAAAATAACGAGTAAATAGATTATTCAATTAAGGGTGAGAACGACATAATAATTCAATATTTCGTAATTTTAAAATTCAACTAGTTATAGAGAATAATTAAGTCTACAAAATTCACCCTGGGTTTTAGATTGCGATCTAGAATATAATCTCTTATAAGAAGAAGAGAGAATGATTGATGAAGTTAAACATCAATTAGCAACTGTAAATATTACAAATACAACTAATCATTAATAAATCTAATTAATTTAATATGCTTAGGATGAAGAAGATTTACTTCCAGAATAATAATAATAATAATAAGATGAATAGATTATAACATCTGTATTAAAGTTAGATGAAGTTCGAAAATAAGATAAAATTCAAAATTAAAATATGTCTATTGGAAGTCGCTCATCTTAAAATAATTAAACTACACTCAAAAGATAAATGAAAGATTGTATTGCAGATTAAACAATCATCAATAAAAAAATGGCTGTAGTTTTAATTCTATTTTACAGCATTGTAATTGGTTCCTATGTTCTAAACTTTTTAGTTTTTTAAAATAATTATCAAAAAATCTAACTAAATTAATCAAATTAGAATTTACCTTATTAATTATCTTACTTTTATAATGAATTTATTATTTCTCATTATTACAAATAGCATTAATAAATTTTTTAATTCACTGAACTTTAATAAATATGTTTAGACTTCTATTAAAAAGAAATAAAAAATGTTGATAAATCATTATAAAATATACCAGAAATATCAAATTTACTAAGCAAACCTTTAAAACAGAAAGTAGTTGATGTAATTTAATAGATGGCTAATATTATTAAAGTTGAAGGCAAAATCAATGAATTTGAGTATTTTAACAATACAAATGATTTTTAATGGATTGTCTAAGCTTTATATTAAGCCGATACAACTTAGAACATTACAAATATATAATATATGTAAATTTTATTTATTATTTATGACTATATTTTATAGAGTAATTGCTGAAGAAATAGCACTTATCTTATTTATATCTTGGTATGCTTATAAGTGTATTGTAATAATTTAGATGAAAACTAAAGTATACAAATTATTTAATACATTTACTACTGATGTGATCTAAGAATAATATGTTATTTTTTCAACATTATATGCCTTAATGAATTCTTCAAAATATAAGAGAGGAGAAAATTATGAAGATAGCTTTGATTCTGTTATAAATTCAGCCTTTCTGAGATAAAGTAGCCATGGATTATTAGAAAAATATTAGAAAGTTGGAAAAAGAATAAAATAACTAAGTATTTAATAATTTATTAAGTATAGAGAATAATTCAATACAAATAATCTTTTTTTTGTTTGTTTTGATATTGATAATTGTTTGTTCTATTTATTTTGTTGGCAGCTACCTCTTACATAATGATACAATAGATTCAATAATAACATAATTTAACGATAAAATCTTATTTTCTAAGGCTTATCATGAAATAACTCAAGCATTTGCTTAAACAGTTGTATTTTTAAATACAAACATAACTGAAGAATAAATATAAATTTAAAATTCTACTGTAATTAAACTTTCAGAATTGAAGAAAAGGTTATCTCTTTATTAATAAGATGAGACGATATATAATTTAGTGACAAAAGCAGCTTGTGACATATTTAATTATTCATTGTAAATATAAACATAAAATGTAAGGTCAGGTTTTCAAGTTTACGATGAATTATTTTCTTATGAATAATGTACAAGTTATTCAATATTAATGCGAGGATTGAGTGTGACTTTTTCTGATCTATGTGATTAATAACTAAGATTTTTACAAGATATAATAAGTAATAGTTCAAAAGAGTATTTAATATCAAACTATTACTCAGTTAGTTCATAAATTGAAAGGTTATATGATTCTATGGGATTTTTTGTAATTGTTGCAACCTTAACTAATTAAATCTAAGAACAAATATAAAATAATATAGATGTTAATATTATTATGGTAGTCTTTTCAGGATTACTTATGACAATATCAATAATAATGATGGTGATGTCAATGAGAAAAGTAAGGCATGCTTATTAATCCAGCAAAAAGTTATTAACTCTAATTCCTTATGATAGACTTGTAGAAAATGCCTACATTATCAGCTTTATTTAATAAGATATTAAACTATAAAATTGATGCAAATAAATATTTTATCTTTTTCATTGAAAAATAATTAATCAATATTTTCTTGTAATTAAATATTCAATGTTTCTAGCTATTTAAGGTTCCCATTTATCTCCATTTTCTAGTAGCTTAAACTTATCATAAAATAAATCTTCATGTTAATATGTTGTATATTCATAATTAGGTCCCTAATTAATAAAAATGAATATTACTTCAACGATTGCATCAACAGGACAAGCTTCTTAACAAAATCCACAATAAATGCATTTAGTCATATCAATATCATAACGAACTGTTCGTCTAAAGAAAATTAAAATTTATAAAAATACCTTGAATTATCTGGTCTAGGTTCTGTTTCAATTGTTATAGCTCTTGCTGGACAAGCACTTTAACATAATTTGCAAGCAATGCATCTTTTTATTTACTAATAAAATTACCTTTCTTCGCCAGTTGGATATCTTCTTAAAGCATGTTCACCTCTAAAAAGTGGTGAAAGTGGACCTTTTTCATATGGATAATTTATTGTCCATTCAGGCTCAAAACAATATAACACACCGCAAAACCAAAAATGATATAAATATTCTGGCTATGTAAAATTTTAATATGCAGTTTCCCAAACATCTGTCCAATCTAATTCATCAGGCATAAATTTGCCTAATTATTAGTATAATAGTAATATACCTTAATAATAATGCATTTGAACATTATGTTCTTAATCTTAATCAAAATCAAGAATATTTGAATTAAATTAAGGTGTTGCGAATTTGCTATTAGGATCCTAGCTATTGGCTACATGATAGTTAACCGAGTTTTTGATAAAAACTATGAGTCTAATCATCATTTATTACCACAAAAACCTGCCTATCTTGACTTTAATAGCAATTTAGTCAACATTTATAATTATTATAATAATATTTATAAAAACAATAAACTAGTATAATTATCAATCTAAAATAGTTTAATTATTATTATATTAAAAAACATTCTTATACATCACTTTATATTACCACATATTTCAAAATTAATGTATTTATTAAAATTAAATTCAGCTAAGAAATTCAAGATATCATTTAAACAAATTTTATCGTTTTTCATTAGATTAATAAATACCATCAAAACAAAAAAGTAATCTTTTATGTTCATTATCATAATTTATTTCAAAAAGTCAATATTAGAATTTAGCAGTTACATTTTTTGTCTAGACATATGCCTATTTTTCGCAAAAGTTCAAAATATTTTTACTTGTTCCAAAATCCTTATTTATTAATTATTCTTACCTATTAGATAGTAATTTTTTATAATTATTGATCATATTAAAATAGGTAAAAAAATATAGTCAGATATCTTCTGAATAATTATGATTTCTTTAAATAGGAATATTTCATCATTTTTTTATGAATTTGTTGTTCCTTTTTTTTTGGCTTAGGAATTCAATTACAATTTATTTCACAAATTTTACATAATATTAAGAATATTATATCTTTATTAAAGATTTTGAGTTAATACATTGACATCTTAGACAATTCATAAATATTCTAATTATATCAATAATTTATACTTAAATGGGTTCTTCATTTAATTGTCTATCTACCAGCCAAACTGAGAGTATCTAAGTGACAATGCATTCCTAAATAAAGAATGATACTCCTTAATGTTCATAGCATAATTGTGCTATTAGAGATTAAAACGTAGTAATGAATTATATAAAGCCTATATCAAAGGATGAAGATGATTAATGCTTTTTTTAAATAATGAAAAATTATTAAATTATAGAGGAAGCTCAAATACATACTAATCATAATCGAAAATTTTTCTTAGAAAAATTTACAAATACGACTAAGCAATACAAATAAAAGAAAAACCATTGCAAACATATTTATTAACATTCTCAATAATACAAAATTACCAAAAGTACTTAATTCAAAACTGATTCAACCAAAAGAAGATCTTATTCTGAAGATAGCTAACCGAAATCAATTCTTTTAGAACATCATCATATTAAAAGAACATCTTTTTCTCACTTCTGCAAATCAGTACACTTTGAAGATGAGAAGTATTTCCCACCTTATGAAAGTTAGTTCAATCATATAATTTTTTGAGCAAAAATAAAACTATTTTTTTAAGATAATCATTAATGATTTAATAACAATAAATAATTATCCATATAGCTATAAAATTTCATTAAAGTACATTTATAATATATTTATTACAATTCAATATATTAAATCATAAAATATCCTTAAAAGTCTCTTTATATTGTTGCTTATGCTAAATTTGCCAGACATATCTGGAATGAATTAATGAAGAAGGTATGTTGTTGATAAAACTGTTATTTCTTCAATAAAGGAGAAATTTATAATTAGGAATATTAAAATTTTATAATTTTAGCCTAGGAGATTCTTAAAAATTCAGATCATAAACAAATGAGACTTTTTAGAACCATAAAATAATTCTCAAAATAATATGAGAATCCCTAGGTAAAAAAATTAGTCAAAGTTTATTATTTAAAATAATTAAGTTAAGAATAATATTTAGTGATATAAATCAAATTCTAATAACATAAAATGAGGATAAGTTCTTTATATAATGATATCATAAAGAAAAGAATTCAAATGCAGAATTGTAATCATAAATGAAGTAATTATTGAGTTAAATATTATATTTTAATGTATGAAGCTTAAAGACTAATAAACATATTATCATTTATCTGTTAAATATTGAATATATTTCTTTAATTCAAGATTTTCTGTTCTATATTCTGTTAATTATCTTTCAAATTATTAAATTCTCTTAACAGCTTCATCATAATCCTAACTTAATTAAGAACAGAATATTTTTAAATTTTAATCTTCTTTATAAACTTCTGTCTCACAGATTGATTATGGATAAGATGTAATTTGTTATTTATTTGAAGCTATATGATTTTTTAAAATAAGATCAACATTTTTAGCTTATTATTTATACTATAATATTTGTTTTGAATATGTATTTAATTGAGATGTTAAATTATTATTTTATGCCTCTTTTTCTTAAATTGTTTGCTTATATTTTTATAATTCAGATTCCATATGCTGTATTTTTTAATGATATTATGATTTTAGTTCATTAAGTTCTAATCTAATACTGCTATTTTGGGAGATTTAATTGACTTCTTTTTCCATTATGGCATTATTAAAATCTGCTAAAAGTGTTTGATGTTTTAATTCTAATTTAGCATAAGATTCTTAAAATTCACTCAACTTTCTTTAAAGCATTTTATTTTAATTTTCAATTTTCTCTAGCTGTTCTAAAGCTGACTCAAGAAGTTTTTTAACATTTTCATATTTGTCATAATATATTCTGAATTATTCAACTTACTGTTCTAGTTTACAAATTTCTTAGTCTTTTTTAGAATACTCCTTTTTTAAATTTTCTATTCTTGACAATTACAATTTCAATAATTTTTATTATTCAATATCCTATCTATCCATGTCTTCTAAATGTTAAAGATCTGTAATAATCTACGCTTTTATAAATTAAAAATTTACATAGATTAGGTTTGTTATTTTGTTTTTGATTTTTCATAATTTAAAATTATTGTTCAAATATAACGATAAAATAAACTAAATAAATTTCTAAAAATATAATTCATAATAATTTTGGAACGAAATCTCATGCATTTTTATGTTTTTTTTTATTTAACGTTTACTTTTTTTAACGTGGTTGATTTTACTTTTCAATTTCCATTTATGCAAGATATGCAGGAACTTCAACTTTTCTATTTGGTATAGTCTTAATCATTTTTGCGATCGATTATAATAATGAATGCTCTAAATATAATAATGCTTTAGTACTGCAATTAACTTATGGATTATATGGTTTTTTATCATCTGCAAATAGACGAACCTTAATTCTTCCTTATTTAAATATATCCTTAGGAAATCCTGCATGTTACTTAATTAAATGTATTGAGTACATCAATTACATGTCTAAGACCAAGGGAGCTTAAACATTAAGATATTTCCATTAATTAAGGATGAGGAATGCAATTAACTTTACCTAATCTTCTACCTTAATAATAGATTTTAAATGAATACCTTAAGATGTAGTTAATGTTGAATCAATATAAGGAGGATAGATGGTTTTCCAGGTTTTTGATTCCACTTTAATTTATTCTGGGGTTTGCATAATTAAATATCGTGTTCAATTAATAAATTAATATTATACCTGTAATAATAATCATTCATTATATAAATTATCATGATGAGTTAGTGGCAAAACTAAAATTTTTGACTCTATTAGTCCTATTATTTTCTTATTCATAATCCTAATCTTAAAAGATAGCCTAAAATAAGAATAAATAATACTAACTTTTCCGTTATAACCTAATTCATCGCCATCAAAATCTTATTGATCATCATCATCATGCATTTCAGAGAAGTCAGTAATGGGTGGTTTATATAATCTTTTATAAACTTTATCCCAATCAATCCCCTTGAAGAAAGGATCTTATTTGATTTCATCTTTAGATTTTGTACCAATTCTCTTATTGGGATCTCTCTCTAGCATTTTCTATAAATTCAGAAAAAGTTATTACACTAATTAAGTTTTTAGCTTCAGCTGACATTTTCTTAGGCCATTTCAAGGTTCCACTCTAGATGTTCTTATACATTTATTGTATATCATCATTATAGTAAGGAGATTCACCAGTCATCATTTCAAACATTACACATCCTATGCCATAGATATCACTTGGTTTTCCAGCTCCTTTTTGACTAAGAATATCAGGTGATAAATAAGCTGGAGAACCACAGAAACTTTTTGCTTTATCTTAATCACTCACATTTTCTTTAGATAATCCAAAATCTGCTAATTTGACATGTCCTTGAATATCTAATAATATATTTTCTGGTTTCATATCTCTGTATATAATATCTTTGGTATGAAGATATTCAATAGCCAATATAATTTCTGCAGCATAGAATCGAGCATCTTCCTCTGAAAATTTACCTTAATTGGCTATATGATATGATAGATCACCTCCTTGACAATAATCTAATACAAGGTATAAATAATTTGGAGTCTTAAAATAATTAGAAAATAAAATTTACTTAGAATGCAAAATGTAAACCAAGAATAAAAGGATGTTTACACATTTTTAAAACATTAGCTTCAGTGATAGCATATTTAATTTATTTTTTTAAAATTAATGTTTTTTTTTTGAGTGCTTTCATTGCAAATATTTCACCATCTGCTTTATGTTTAACTAAAAAGACTTTTCCAAATGCTCCTGACCCTAATTCTTTAATAATTTCAAAAGAATCGAATGTTACTTTGCTGTCTTTTAATAATTCATTCTATCCTTCTAAAACTGATGATTGCAATTATTATTAAGATTAATTAATTGATTTTTGTTATTCAATTTCTGAAGTTCTTGGTGGACTTTGACTATATCTATGAGCAGGTTCTGGATTTGATAATCTTTTTTATATAAGTGTAGCTTCATCTCTTGGTAACGAAATAGATTATTCTGGTGATAATTATTTTGGAGGAGGATCTGAAGATGGTGCCTTTACATTTGTATCTTCAATTTAAACTTCAATATTTTTATCAATCAAATTTGGATCCAACGTTCCTCTAACATAATTAAAATAATAAAGTACTCTTTAATCTTTTCTTCTATGTATTGATAATATACAGTGGCTTTATAAATATATTCTACCCATTTTTTTGCTATATGTTCATTTTTACATGCTAATATTATTCTTGTAGAATAAAGTAATTCAAAATAATAAAATCCTGATTTAGATATAAAACCTTTCTGCGTCATTGAAACACTTCTTACACTTCTTAAAGGAATAATCTCTCTTAAATATATTAATTTAAAAACTGTTACAATGGTTTTAATGGATAATCAGATATATTCTTAAATCTTATGAATGTCCCTTCATCTGGATTTAAAACAAAATATCTCTCATTCAAAGTGACTATCATCTAACCAGTTTTATATATGAATCCTCTTGCTACTGGTGGTCTAGGAGGTATAAAATCATCTGCATTTTTTAATTAATCTTTGATCTAATTACTTTTCTTCATTTGCTCCATTGCTATCTTTGTTTCCTAATTACAATAATCATATGCTGTTCTTTCTGTTTTATCTTATAATTTAGGATCTGCATTCTTTTAAAGTAACAATTCTATTATTTTTATCTAATTTGATTTGCATGCTAAATTTAAAGCTATTCCCTTATCTGTTATTAAATTAACATCAACTTGAGAATGATTCAATATTACTTTCACTATTTCAATATTATGTCTATGTACAGCTATTTATAATGGAGTCCATCCTTCATCAGTCACTTTATTTATATCTACATCTTTTGAAATTAAAAACTCTACTATTAATTTATACTCTAAAAAAGTTGCAAAATGTATTGGATTCCATCCACCAAAAGATGCTTAATTTAATAATTAACTATCTATTTTCTAACTCAATTATTGAAGCATTTCTAAATTTCCACTTTTCACTGTCTAAAATATTTTATCATCAAAATCAGATTATATAGGTTCCACATCAGTATTTGATGATTTCTATTTAGATTAATTACCTTCATCATCTGAATTTTCACTTGTTTCAGATACTGCTGACAATTTTTAAGGTTTTTCCCTTTAATTTTAGAATAACTTATTCAAGTATTTTTCAGTTTATCTCTTCTGCTCTTTTTATTTTGTATCTGATTCATTTTCCCTTACTTCTACTAAAATATTCTAATTTTCCTAGAATTCATAAAATTCTATTGGCCAACCCTCTATTATTTTTATCTAAATATTATACAATTATTACAGAATATTGATCCCTTTTACACTTTATTACTAAATCCTAAGCTTAACGTCCAACTTTAGATGCAATTACTGAAATTAGTTGATCTGAAGTATCTTTATCATTTAATTCTATCTTAAAGGTCTTCTTTTAACCAAAACCATAATATTGCTGTACAATGAGTCTCATTATATTATAAATTTATATTAAAAAACTATATTTATCAAAACTTATAACAATTACCAAATCAATATAACAGCATATTTCACTCATTTTAGATGTTTAATAAACTAGTTTAAACTTTATAAAGCCTTAAAATCTATTTCACAATCTTTTGTTTATCCTTAATACATCAAAGTAAAAGAGTCTCTTAATTCTAAAGCCCAATTCATTAATTCCATTCCACATTATTTTGAACAAATCATCAAATGATGGAATATGCTAAAATTATGGACATCCTTTTAAGCCAAGTTTTTCATTAAATAACATTCTTTCTCATATACAGAAAAATCATCTAATGCAATTTTTTTAATATATTTCATCCTATAAGTCCATAAATGATAGCTTCGGTTCTTCTTTTTAAAAGCTTTTAAAAAAAATCTTGTTTCATTCTCATAACTTGTCTAAAATTATTATCTATAATTAAATGAGCATGATGATCCAGGAAATCTTATACATATTAACTCTGTTAATTTGAGATCTTCCTCTTTTTTTAATCTTTGTCTTATACCCCATGCACTATAATTTTCACCATTCATAAATAAAATCATCCAAGATGCTTAATCCTAATATTATTCTGTTTTCATAAACTCAATACATATTGGATATAAGAGAGATACTGCTGAAACTGATATTCCTAAAGTACATTCTTCAATTTTTATTAATTTTTTTTTATTTTCTTTATCATCCATATCTATTAAAATCTCATCAGGGACATGTTCTATATATTCAATTTTACTTATATCTTTGAAATAATTTTGATAATAGAAATCGAAAATTTCAATGTTGAAATTCATTATGATCTATTTACCTATTTATAATACTTTATTAATAATAATTATTTAAGAACATAAATTTTTAAGAATAATTACTCATTCTTCTTATATAAGTTAAGTTTTAGGATAGCAACTTGATAGAATTTCAACAAATCCTTTAATAAATTATCGAATCCATTCTGATTTTTTTTTAATTTCTTCTACCTCGTCATTAAATGTGTTAGAAGAAAAGTTAAAAAAGCCTATAGTTGAATTTTGACTGTAGTGAAATGATGCATAAATAGGATTAGATTCCTTTAAAATAATAAATTAAACTATTTACAATTAAACTAATAAAAGAGCAATCATCTTTTGTTAGTTCATAAATTAATTGTCTATCGAAAATCATTTTATGATCTTGGTAATTTTCGATTAATTTTGAGATGATGTTATCAATGATATTATAATCAGATTTTTAATTCTAAAAGTATTCTTTTACAATAAGTTTGTATGTATCAATAAATTATGGAGAAATGTATTTCATTACTATTTCTAAACCAATTTTTATTTCTTCAGGTAAATTGTTTAAAAATAATTTATTAGGATAATTGTTGTTCTTCCCTAAAAACATATAAGTAGTGTCTTCAGGATAATCTAAATACTAAAGAAGTCTAGAACATTTATTCTAGAATAATGAAAATAAATTACTTTGAAATCTTTTTTAAGTTAATTTGAATATTTTTTTTTAACTTCATGAACAATTTCGTCAGTTTTGAGAAAACCTTTTTTTATTTTTGAGGCTGGTATGCCTGTTACAACTTTAAATATCATATTCCCCATTTTACATAAATAGATTATTATTTTCATAGAAATATCTCTTCCAAACCATAAATTTGATAAATTATCATCAAAGAATTCTTAATTCTATTGATCATTAGCAACAACTTTCTTATTTTTAGATGGTCTTCCTGAACCCCAATTTCCTGATTTACTTTTAAATGATTATTTCTTTATTTTTTTTTGTTTAATTTTCTTTAAGTTTTCCCTATCTTCACAATCAGAATCTATATTTGAAGATCCCGAACTCTGAAAATATGGTGTAAAATCTATTTGAAAATTTTACTTTTTAGATCTAGATTGATATTTCATAATCTATAATTAATAATCTATTAAATAACTTGATATTAATGCATAAATAGAGCAACCTAATATATATTTTAAACTGCTTTAGAATTTTTACATATATCAACTAAAAATTAAATTTGCTGGCTCACATATAATGGCGCTATTTCAATCATTAATAGACTTATTTTAGAGTTTAGAATTTTAAAATAAATAAAAAAAATAAAAATAATAGAAAGTATTCCATAAAAAAGAAAAAAAAACAAACTTAAACTGTTCATTAGAAAAATTAGTTTTTTTCCTTTTTTATCAATTATACTAATTTTAAGTTGACTGATTTTCTTTTATCAATCTCCTGTTTAAGTTTATTGTTTTCTATTTTAATAAATTAATGAAGATTTATTTAATGTAACTTTAAAAATATCATTTTTATTTATCTACTTTATTGATCTCAAGATGATTTTATGTAGAATTACTCAAAATTATTGTTATATATCATAATTTTAATTAACAAATAAATTATATACTTCTGATAATAACCAAAATTCTTTTGTTTTAGAGTAATTAGCTTAAATTAATTAATCCTAAACTTTATTATCAAATGATTTAATAATAAAATTAAAATTAAAAAAATTTTTAAATATAATATTTTGAAATCTTATCTGATTAAAAGAGTTATAGTATATTTGATTAGGAAGATTCAAAATATTAAGAAAATTTTATAATATTATAATTGTAAATATGAAGATTTATATACAGATGAATCAGATTATTCTCAATTATGATGACAAGAATTAGAGTTATTAGTTTTTACATTTAAAAAATAACTAACTAATCTTATCTATAATCAGTAATATTTCAATATTAATATATATGGTATCGATAATGTGCTTATTGTATATTTTTTGGGCCCTACCAAAAATGAACAAAATAATCCAATAATTTTATATCATAAATTTTATTTTAATATAAATCGGATATTGAAACAACATTTATTATTTTATTAAATTTTACAGTTAATATGTAGGAGATTTAATAAAAGAGAGATATATATAATGAAGGATGGTCACACAGAGAATTAGAAGATAAGTAAAGTACACTTTTTTTGTATTCAAAGAATTTTCGACAAAAATCACATTGTTAGCCTTAATTTTAGCAATAATAACAACAATCATAGCAATAGCTTTTTTCCACAAATATTCTTTGACAATAATGATGTTACTTTTACTATCAGGAATTTTTTCTGTTATTTTAAGTGTAATTTTAAAAATAAATTTGAATTTAGGGATTGATTATGTATTGGTTTAATAATAGCCAAATCACTGAAGAATCAGAGGTTTAGTTACAACTAAGAAAATTTGATGTAGATTCAAGAATTTCAGCAGTAGTATTTCTAGGTTCATTCATCAATATTTTATATAATATTATTTTGTTAGTGTTTATTGTGTTTTGGTATAGAATTGGACAAGACTATTATTAAGCTAATCATTCAATTGAAAGTGGTATTACGTACATGAGTGATTATAAGACTGGAGTAATAATTGGATTTCCAGTATTGATTTTGATCAGTTTAATCTTGATGTATGTGGCATTCACTAGTTATATAACAATACCTCAGAAATCATAATTGAGAGTATGTATATATGTGTTTGCATTATCCACCATTCTAATAGCATCTTTTACATTAAATTAAGCAAATTAAGCTACAGATGATTTTTAGACACCCTATTCTCCTTTATAAGTATCAAATGCCTTCTCTTTATTTAAAATATTAACAATACTATCTTTGATTACAGCTGCATTAGCTTTTCTTACTACTTTTATATATAAAAATAGTCTATTTGAAACTATGGGTTATGCAAACTTAATTTTAATATTTTTAATAACTGCTTGTTCTTTTTATATAATAAGATAAAGTGAATAAGTAAGATCAGCCTATATTAATTAATGTGGTTAATAGATGCGTAATACACATTTAGATTGGATACAAGAAAATGCAAACTGTTAAAAATATTTAGATCACAATAATTGCGATCCCTAATAATAATCAATATTATGGGAAAAAGATGGAAGCTAGTAATGTTTAAATATTTCATGTTGCAATGCATTTTCAGATTCAATGTCAAAAAATGTATTTTATACAGGTTTTTTTTCATTATTGCTAGTCATAAGTGGTTTTGGATTATCAACAACTTTATTATAAGTGGATACAAGTTTAAAAGGAATGTAGATACCAAATAGAAAAGAAGATTGGACTTTTTTTTTAATGGGATTAATAGTGGGAATATTTTCTGTATTATTGATTTTTGGATCTGTGACTTTACCAAATTAGAAAGATTTGATAATAGTTGCAAATTAGCAAATAATAAAAGCTAATAGAAATCCTTTGGTATATCCAACAGGAATAGAGAATGCAACTGGATGTGAACCATTTATGGAAGTGTATAAGAGATAGAATAAAAATAAAGAATTGATTTTACATGAGGATTCAAGATTAACAATACTGGCCCCTAAGATGTAAATAGTAATAACAGAATATGTGAATTCTGCAAAGGTTTCATATATACCAAAGGAAATGATAAAAAATGTATTTTACACATCTGCTGGAAAGAATGATGGGATATTTGGTGTGGAGGGAGATAAAGGTGAAATAAAAGAGATATTATCAAAACATATTCAGATATGCAGTGAAGGTAATAAAAATTAATTGACAATTGATATATTTGCATTATAAAGTAGTAGATTATTATGGTAAAAACATAAAATACATGCAGAAGATAAACCATTTAATTAGGAAGCAAAGCAGTATATTAATAAGAATTTAAAGTTTACTGATTTATAAGTTAAGATTACAGATATATAGACAGGATTAGAATTGGATGATGTTATATTGTATTTTTATAAAAATGAAGATGATTGTGGTAAAATAAAACCAATACCTTAAAGAATAAGTAAAATATTATATAAATGTAATAGTAACAGTAAATGAGGATAGTGTATTATACAATATGGTAGTTCGAGATTATTATTTTGGAGCAGAGAAGAAAGGATATTATTTATATTGCAATAAATTTAGTAATACAGAAAAAAGTAAAAGTTTGGAAGTGACAATGATTCCAAGAAATATAAAAAAGGGATAATTTACAGTAACGATGGAAATTCCAAAATAAGATAAGTATAATGTATTATTGGGAGCAGCATATCCAGAATGTGTAGTAGGATTTTTTAATGAGAATTGTGGAGGAATGTAGTTTTATGGAAGTTTGACTGCTTAGGCAATTTCAATAAATGAATTAGCAGATAGAAAATACACTTTTTTTGTAAAATTTGATTCAAGAGATCCAAAACAAAAAGAAATGAATAATAAGAAATCTTAAGGTTTAAAAATTGATGCATCAGTGATTGATAATGAATACATTTTTAAAGAATTAAAACCTGTAGTAACTCTTTATGGATTTGAATAAGAAAGACCAATAATTAGATATTCATTACCAAAAGTAAATAATCTAAATAAGGAACCAAATTTAACATGGTTGGTATTTTGTGTAGATGGAGGAATAGGGGATATTTCTTAAAAGTCGTGTGGTTAATTTTGGAAATATTCTGAGAATCCAAATAAATTTGAAAGGAATGAAAAGTCAAAAGATATATACCCTTAGATATGCAATAAATAATGATATTAATTGGATAATTTAAAATATGAAACTGTTAATAATTATAATAAATTCCATATAATGAATAGACAATAATAGGAAGCAGCTCAAATTTGTATGATTGTATAATAGAGGATATAGTGCTGAAACGAGTTAGAGATGCTTTATAAGCAAGAGGAGCAAAGACAATAAGACAATTAGGTGTAAATTTCAGATGTCTTGATTCTTATGATGGTAATAGAAAATTAGACAAAAATGAATTGAAAGTTGGTCTAGCAGAGAATGGAGTTTAGTTGTCTTGGAATGAAGTTGATGTAATAATATTATTTTGATTGTAGATATTATTCGCAGCTATGGATAGAGATAGAAGTGGACATATAGATTTTGATGAATTCCTAGTAGCTATTAGAGTAATTAATTATATTTATAATTAAGGGATAATTGAATCCTACTAGAAAGGCTATTGTAGATTAAGCCTTTAGAAAATTTGATAAAACTGGAGATGGATACATTACAGCAGATGATTTAAAGTAAAATTATCAATTTATTTTAGGGGTGTTTATAATACCAAATTACATCCAAAAGTTAAAAATGGATAAATGACAGAATAATAAGTGTTTGATGAGTTTCTTGTTAATTTTGGAGATGTTGATAGAAATGGTTAATTAACTTATTAAGAATGGTGTGATTACTATTCTGCAGTCTCTGCTTCAGTAGACAATGATGAACATTTTGTCTTAATTATGAAAATGGCTTGGAAAATATGACACCCATTTCATCATTATATAATTTTTACATTATTTTTATTATTCATTAAATCATTTAATCTTTTACTAATCAAGAGATAGAAGATACTGTATTATTCTCTTACAAAATACATTTGTTTCAAACTTTTTTAGATTCACAACCCTCTTAGAAGAATATTTATCCATACTACTTTTTATAAACAAACACTTACTTATAAAATATAAGAAAACTCTCATGTCTTTTTATTTACACATTTATCATTTCAATACTTATAATGATATAACAACACCTTTTATTAATATTAACAGTTAATAATCCTATTTCAAATACACTTTCTGCAGGATTTTTAAATTAAATTGATTAAAATTTATAAATGAATTCTAGAGACCCTCCTAGTAAAATTTTGTTATTGATAATAACTTACTTGCCTTAATCATTCCCACTTACAAATGATTTTTTATTTGATATTTTTAAATAGTATGGAGAAGTCAAAAAAATTTTAATTTTCGAAAGAGGAAAGACTAACAAAGCATTCGTAGAATACAATGAAATTAAATAAGCTATTTCAGCAAGACGTAATATGATAGGAAAATCCCTCACTCCTTAAGGAGGAAGGTAACACTTTCAGTTATATTTATACCAGATTATTGATTCATTATTCTCGTTTGAAATAACTAGACTTAGAAGTGGTTGATCATACCAGAGGTTCTGAATATCACTCCGATGATGAAGAAACATTACCACAATAAAAGTCAACTTTGAAATCGATGACGCTACCTAATTCAAATCACATATCTCCACCTTTAATTAAACCTCAATCTATTGAATAAATCCCAGAAAATCTTAATCAATCCAATGGCATACGTAAAATTACAGAAGAATCTCCAACCAAAGCCATGTATCTATTTTAATTATAATTTTCTAGAATGGAAACGCAATTAAGATAATTAGAAAGAATTTTAGATGATGACTATGAATAAGAAATAGCTAAAATTTAATGCACTCAGTTGGATCCCAATGAATTGGCCATTTAAGAATTATTAAATCAATAACCGTCTAAATTTCTTAAGGTTTCAAATTTAGATGAAAGAGTAACTCCAAGGATGCTTTATAATCTCTTTAACAGGTTTGGACATTTGGAAGCCTTGTTGTTAAAAAAAAATATTCGTTAATCAATTCTATAATTTGTAAATAAAGAGAATGCAATTATAGCCAAAGAATTACTCAATAATGTAGTTTTTTTCGGAAATGAGGTGAGCATATGATTTAATTATCTTAGTTGAGAATCTTATTTTATAATGCTCATAATCCACTTTTGTAGCCTATTAATCCTAATGAAGAATATTACCAAGGCAGTCAAACCAAATTTAAAATTGTTCCCTTGTCTAGAAATCTGTAATTTACTGGAATACCATAATTATTAGAAATTTAAGACATGGTTAAGTTAGTTGGAAAAATTCAAGGTAATCCTATTCTCAATTTTAGAAATTAAACTTGACTCTTAGAACATTCTAATTACTATGGTTGATATCTATGAAGCATTGAAAGTAATCTCAGTCTTTTCGGAGTATGATTACAAAGGAAATAAAATTAGTTTGACTTTAAAATGACTATGTATATATTTAATATTTAAAGATTATAATTTATCTCTATATATATTTATGATGAATTAGCAAGAGTATACAAATATGATTGTTATGGCCTTCTAAGGTAAAGAGACTGAATAAAGAAAAAAAGCAGAAGAATTATTAATACAAACTTGTCAGAATGATGTTAGATCCATCGATATTTTATGTGAATTATCAACTTAATAAAACGATTAATTATTAGCTGAATAAGCGGCCATTACAATAATAACTGCAGTAAAAAAATTTATTGGCAACACAAGTAATCTATTATTGAATTAAATTAGAACCATATGCTGTTGAAATGAGATTGCATCATGTTGATCTATTTGTTTAAATGCTATCAAAACAAATATCAGATAAAATAAAATCCAGCATATAATAAGCCTTATAATAATTAGTTTGCAATGATAAATGTAAATAAATCAATATTATTGAACTTTAGAAAATCATTTCAAGAATCGGCTTAAATAACATATAATTTAATCAATTGACACTAGATTAGAAAATATGATAGTGTCGGCATTATTTATAGCTGAAACTTTGTAATTAGATAATTAATTTGAATGGTTTTAATAAGTAATCAAGGCAGGTAAAATTATTGATGGTTTTTCATAATCTACTAAAGTATTATGGGCTAAAGTTATATTTAATTAATTAGATAGACACCTAACAACTCATTAAATGAGCGGTGTACCAGAACCAATACAATAGTACTTTCTATATAATGAAGAATTGTGTCAAGTACTAATTTTAAAAACCTAATAATTAACTTTTGCAGCTGAAGATTTAGAATATTGTCATTTTGTTGTTGCCTCATAAAGATTGATATATGGTTCTATTCTTAAATTGTACAAAGGAGCTATTGTAGCTAAGAAATGCCCATATTTAGGTATCATTTGTATTTTATGTGATGCTTACATCTAAAGTCTTTTGGCATTTACAATTTCACCAACTTTTTCTTTAGATAACATTAATTAGAATCAATCAAATTTAATTAATGAAATTATTAAGTTCTTGGCAATTTCATGTATAAGTAATTCAGTCTATAATATCTTTGCTGAATATAGGATGCCCATTTTTATTGATATTATTATACCATTCTTTTCATCAACTTAAAAAGAAGTAAATGATTTAATTGATGATCCAAATGAATTTGTTCAATTAACTTAAGATATTTTAGATGAATAAAAATCAGATATCATTAAATCATCTATTGCTCAATTAATTAAAGCTTATTGTTAACACATTGATGGATCTGTATCCTTCTTTACATCATTCTCCACTTTAACTGCTTCATATTGTATTTAAAAACTATAAAATACAGAGATAAAAGAATAATTAGGATTAATAATGGAATTTAGGGAACATTACTTTTTGAAATCTATGAATGTTAATCTATTGTTAGAAACTTCATTATTAATATTATCAATTTAGAGTAATTATCTCACCTCAAGAATTGAAGTAGGATTAATTTTTAAATCATTTATAAATTAATATGCTGATTATCTATTAAATTATTCAATACGTATATTAATCTTATATAATTTTAGCTCTTGTTAAGGCCAGACTCTGTACTTATATAGGTTAATTTTGTAAAGCAATTCTCCATGAGAAAGATGAACTCTCTTATTCTTTACTTAACTTTTTGGTGAATTAGATAAAATCTGCAAAAAATGATTAATATGCTAATTGTTATTGTGCAATAGAAGCAATTAAAAATATTATTGATGAACCAAGTTTAGAAAAACTTTTAGAACCTTATATTGCATAAATATTATTAGCACTGTGCGAATCTTTGTTATAAAGTGATTTTGAAGATCATTTTGAAACAATTAAATAAATTTATAAGTATTGTTTATTTAATGATTAGAACATTCTAAATAGAATAATCTGTATTAGATTAATCATTAGGTCTAATAGTTTTAAAAATATAGTAAGAATAATAATTAGTAGAATAAGGATAAAGTGAGAGATAAATTTGTATCAATTAAACTTGGAACATTCTTAAGTCTTTACCTGAGATTGAGAATATCATTCCAATACATTTTAATCTTTTAGAAAAAAAAGTTGCTGTCTTATATCAGTATATGATAAGTAATTAAGATTTTAATTAATTAGATCCTAATATCATAGATTTTGATGAGGACATTGTATATTTTATATCATAATTAATATCTAAAACAAAGTTTATAAGTGATTATTAGGCTGAAATGTTATTTTAATGCAATAAAGTAATAGAAAAGTAAAGATTTACACTAGGATAATTATTTGAGCTTTTTAATTATTACATTTATTATGGGAAAACTCTATTTTCAAATATCAAAGCACAAGAATTTGTATTGATTATATATCTTAATTTAGTTAATTTAAATTTTAGAAGCTGTATTTAATAATCCATAAAGAGGAGAAGCTTCTTAAGGCGAAGCTATATTACTTTTACATTTACTCATTTAAGAATATAGGTTAAGCAAAGAGGTTTTAACATATATTTATACAAAAATATTATTAAGATCCTAATTGGAAGTAAAAAATGATTTTTTGAGAGCTAGATTAATGGGAATATATATATCAGGTTTTATTTAAAATGGTGCATTAACTTTAGCATGGATAGAATAATAATAAGGATTCATTTATGATCATATAATGGATTCAAGTAAACATTGTTTACCAGATTATGACATTTAACTTTACATTTCTGGATTCTGTTAACTTTTACTAAGGAATCCTTAACATTTAAATTTAAAATTACTATAAAATTTTGTATTAGTATTAAAAAAGTAATATCATTATGATTTGAAAAAATCAAAAGATGATAATAATGATAGTGAAGATATGTTTTCAATCGATGATGAGTTAGAGGATGCAAAAATTACAATGGAAACATTCTTATGTAATATTACAAAACACAATTCATTTGACTTATTTCATATTACATATTAGTAACTAAGAAAAACAATTAATATACCAGAATTGATATCAAATGATCCCATTTTGAAAAAAGATCTTGATGAGTTGTTAAAAATAAATAAGTTTAATTAAGATTCTAGAATTATTTTAAAATTGAAAAAGAGAAAATAACCATGAAAATTATATTGTTAATAAATATATAAAATAACTAATACTTAAATTAATATCTAAAATAACATTTTTCATCTATATATAATCATTCTTAAGCTGCTGAGAAACCTTTGAAATCTCCATTAGTTTCTATAAAATGTGATGATGGTGTTTCATAAATTCTCTTACCAAATTAGTCTTTCTTTACTTAAGGCTAAAAAATTATTAAGATTTAAAAAATACATAAACATGAGTATTTTCTAATATTGGTGATGGAATTTCTAATTTATATAATTAATCCCAATTAATATCACTAAAAAAATTGTGATCTTTGATTTCTTAAATAGATTTTGCTCCTAGTCTTTAAGTAGGATCTTTATTCAATAATCTATCCACAATACTCTTAGATTATTCACTAATAAATTTTGGATAATTAATTTATCCATTTTTAATATTAATTTCTATATTTTTATGATTTCCTTAATCATCAAAAAATGGAGTCTAACCAACCAACATTTCATAAATAAGAATTCCAAGACACCAAAAATCAACCATATGATTATGACCTTAATTAAATAATATCTCCGGTGCTAAATATTCAGGAGTTCCTGCAAGCTTAATTTAAGTGAATATTTAATACAGTAAAAAATTTAGCTTCTTCATTTTCATATTGTTTAGATAGACCAAAATCTGCTAATTTTAAATGTCCTTCTTCTGTCACCATTACATTTTCTGGCTTTAAATCTCTATATATTACTCTTAGAGTATTATGCATATATTCTAAACCTAATACTATTTCAGCTGCACAAAATTTTGTTTATTCTTCTGTAAATCTACATTATTATCTTTTTCTCAATACTTTCGCTAATTACCCACCCTTAATAAATCTTAACTTCATTAAAATATATTTTACTCCATCACTAAATAAAGTTTTTATTCTGTTTAAAATGAATATTTCAATTTAACAACGAATGGATTTTTACTTGCACCTAATACATTCTTTTCCAACATTGTATGTTCCACAAGTCCATATTTTAATATATCAGCTTTTTTAATTACTTTCATAGCATATTCCCGATTATCTTTCCCTTTCATTTTCACTCTTAAAACCTTCCCAAATTTTCCCTATTATTTCTATCAATCATTATAATTACTCTCCCTATTTCACCTTAACTTAAAAAATCTTTCAAGGTCACCTTTTATTTCTCATTCCTTTTCTCAATTTATTATGCCAAAAAGCTATCTACTTTTTTTATTGAAGATTTCTAATTCTTTTCTTCCTCTTATAAGAAACAATTCCCCATTCAGTAATTTAAAATATTATTTTTTATATTATCAATTTATTTATATTCTTACTTTCTTTAATCAATTAACCTGCAAAATAAGTTTAATTAAATTGTCTTGCATTTATTAACTTGATTTCATAAATTTTACACTAGAATCTTCTTCTTTTAAATTCCATCTCCATTTTTTACTAAATATGATTCTCTATATTTAAATAACTATATTTTCAAATTATAGTTGCTAATCAAATTTCCTTACTAGACAAATTTTAAACATTTTAAGTCTTTCACATTATTTTAGTTGCTAAAATTAATTCTTTCTAACTTATAGTATTGATTAATTAATAATAAAATATTCCTAAAATAATTAAATAATTGAATATAAGAGACTTAAATTGTGTTTAGAATTTTCATATTTAAATAATAATTGTTTTATGCAAAATTAATCAATTTAAGTAAAAATTGGTACAATAATTATTACTTAAAAATGAATAAAAAAGAAAACAATTTAAGGCAAGAAAGACTAATAAATTATTTATAAATATTAAAATTATAATAAATGATAGTTATTCAATTGTTTTGTTTAAAAAAATAGATTTTATAAATTGAATTATTTATATGTATATTATAGTCATTAATTATATTAAAATATACTTTCATTCAAATTCTATTTTATTTAATAGGATTTCAATGTTTTTTGTATATTATTCAATTTCTTTATTTTATTAAGTGACAACTTATTTTAAATTAGCCTCAATAGATGTTTTTATTTCTTCATTTTCTTATAAAATCTTCTATTACTCTTATTTCTTAAGTTGTATTTACAAATATTCTTATTATTCTTTTTTTACATCTGCTTATAACTCTTGCAATTTATTCTATAAATCTATAAGAGATTATAAACTGTATTGATTTGATGAATTGTTTTTTTCAGATTCAACAACTTTCTATTATTGCAACAATTCTTTATTTTACTACAATTTTTACAAGACCATGTTTTCCTAAAGAATTTTGTTTGTTGCAGTGAATATTTAATCATTAGATTTTTCAAAATTGTTATCTTCCTAAATTAGAGTACTTTCTGCTTCCTTTATTTATTCAAAAAGTCTCAAAAAGTTATCGTAATCATAGTATAATTATTTATAAATTTTTCCAATCTTAAAGTTTTCACTTTATAATTCTTTTTAAGCTTTATCTACCTCAATTTGAAGACTTTCAACTCTTCTTTAACTATCATTAACTTTTTTCTCTAAATTTTTTGGATCTTTTACTATCATACTATAAAATTATTAAATAATTTACCCTTCCAAAATAGATAATTCATTTTAAGCCACTTACAATTTCTCAATCAAATTCTTATGCTTCTTATCTGCATCTTTCAATTCATTTTAATTTTATGATATAGAATTTTATAATTTTAAATTTTAGTTTCTTTTAGCTAATAATTCTGATTCAGCCTTATGTTTCATTTATTTATACTACTCAAATCTTTTTTTTTTCAAATCCATATCCTTATATTTCATTTATATTAAATCTTCTAATTCACTTTTTTATTTACGAGCTTATTATAAATCAAAATCTTCAAGTTAAATCTAATATATAATTAAAATTATTTAATTACAATCTCTCTGTCTTTCTTTTCCCATTTTTATGTTTGCTCTTTTTTCCATAAGCAATATTTACATAAATGAGTGAGATTATTTTTTAGTCTTTTTTAATCAGGATCTGTTAAATCCACCATCTAAAAATCTACAACTCCAACTGTTTTAAACATCAATTTGCAACGATAAAACAGCTATAGTGTTTAATTTTCTAAGGTAAAATTATCATCAAAATTTATGATATCACAAAACTTTTATTAGATTAAATACAATTACTTTTTCGTATATCATTACTAATTAACTATGATCAGGATTGAAATTGTTTTCAATTGAATTATAAATTTGAAGATCTTTCAACATTTGAACCAATTCTAAATTTGAATTCATATTTAGAAATATTAATAAATAAAATTTTTAAATTATATACTTTTTAATTTGATTTATCTATATCTATGTCGTAGTATTATAATATGTATAAAAATACCAATTAATATCAAACTAACTGTAATATTTCAAAAAGATCTTTTATAATCAATGGTTTTGTCAATACATCACTCATACCTGAATTTAAGCACATGAGAATGTCATTCTTACTATTAAATGCAGTTAATCCTATTATATGAATTTATGGTATTTAATGCTATTCCATCATTAATCTCAATTACTTAGTTGCTTATATTCCATTCATTATTGGCATTTAATAATCCATTAAAATTAATAAAAATAAACTACAATTATGATTACATTTTTGAGTTTATATAATTAATTAAATAGCCTCTTCACCATTAAATGCCTTAAAATAAAACTTAATAGTACCAAAAGAACCTCAAATCCTTATTATGATAATAAGAATTGAATAGATTTTTAATTAAATATTTCATCATCTACCGATAATATTCTCTTACAATTACATTTTTTCTTTCTCATAATTGTTTTTAAATTTTATTCACTTTCTTAATCTTCTTAAAGCTTTAATTATTTATAACTTACAATTTTTGTTTATTGATGATTACTTTTTGGAGATAATTCTTATTTATTAAATTTAATCTTTTATTAAGCATTTTCAGTAAATAGAAAAGGTTATAAATGATGTAGTTCAGAGATTTACAAATCTTAATCTAAATTAATTATACTATCAGAGAATATTGAATTTTCATTTGATTTAACAGATTTAAGTGTAACTTTTTTTACAAATTAAGTGTTAAGTTTACGATTGGATACAAATAAATCACTAATTTAAATAAGAGTTCCATTTAAAGATAAATGATGAATTGATCCTGACACATTACTTTATCTAAGTTTGCTATTAAATCTTATTGGTTTTTCTTTATAATTAACACTCGAAGATTAATGACTTAATTTATGATTCTAAATATAAAAAGTCACTTTTGTTCCTTGACCTTCTCCTCCAGATCTTATTAATAATGATTTATAATCAGCAGGACATAGTTTTGATAATAACATTGATGAGATTAATAAACCAAATCCATGCCAAGATTAATATTATGAAAAATTCTATCTTTATTCAACATCTAATAACATTTGATGTATTTTCATTAATTGATCTTCTTTTATTCCAAATCCTTCATCTTTTATAGTAATCTTTAAATAATTAGATGAAAAAGAGGTCAATTTTAAAAGAATATATCCACTATTTGAATATTTAATAGAATTTTATAATATATTTACAATTATTTGAACTAATCTTGAAAAATCGGTACAAAGATTATTCAATTGATTCTCCAATAAATCTACATATAATACTAAATTTTTCATTTCTATTACTGATTTAAATAATTTGTTTATTTCATCAACCAAATCTTTAATTGAAAAATCTTTAATATCTAATTCTAAATTATCAGCACATAATGAACTAAAATCAATAATATCATTAATCAAGTATGATTATAACCTTAATGCATTTATGGCAGGTTATAAAAATTTAATTTTTAAGTCTTCCTCTATACTTTTATGATTTAAACAACACTACAAAAAGTTACAAGAACTATTCAAAGGAGTTCTTAATTCATGTGAAAAAGATTGGGCTATCTTTTTATTACATAAATATTTACTGAAGTTTTAAATTAATCTTTTATCATTTCATCATAATATTTATTTTACTTAGATATGTCAATTAATGTTAAAATGATTTCATCATCTTCTTAATTGATTATAATTTACCCACTATAGGTAGAACATTTACTGTTTTCCCAAAAATGCTAACAAAATAACTCCAAAGAATTATTAATCGAATTTGTGGTTTCCCATAGTTTACCTTCTTTATAGTTTTCTATAATTTCAGATAATTTGTTTGTTTCCTTATATTGTTGTTAATTTATGCTTTCTTAATCAGAAAAATCTTTTTTATCTTAATTACTTTTTTAAGATGTAACATTATTTCTCAATCTATTCTTTTTTATATGTTAATCTGTAACAATGTTTTTTTAATCTTCAAAAAATTCTAAATTTATAAGAATTAATTACATACCTGAAATAATTGAGAAATCTAATTAATTAAGTATTAGTTTATCAAATTCTTCTTCATTTTTACAAATTGTCGAAAAATGTGTATATACATTTTGATTTTTATAAGTTAATTTCAAATCTTTTTTTGAAATCAAAATGAAACATATAGGAAGAGAAGATATTCTACTCATCCATGTGTTTTCTTTTGTACATATTGTTAATGTTTCTCGATTATTTTTATTTTAAAAAGAGCTAAATAATTCTCCAATATTTTATTTTTTCGATTTTTATAATAGAAACCCTAATTAGCATGTTTCTTAAAATAAAATGCTTGCAATAATGATTATGTCTATAATTTAAAATTAAATGATCATTATTACTAAACAACCAACTTTTGTGATAATATTTTAAATAGAGCTTTCTAAACTAATAAAGTTTGCTGAATTATTATTATGTTCATGTTCACAAATTAATACCACTATTAATATATAATCTTATCCAATCAACAAAAGAAAAAGAATTGAATTTAATTTTACCACAAGCAAAAAAATATTGATTATCACATGAGTTAGTTTTTTCTAAAATGATAATATTATCAAAGCCATTAAGATATTCATAGACATTTTAGGAATGATGTATTCTAAATAATTGGGATACTGAATCAATAAAGCAAGGTCAATAAGGCAATGCAAAATAAAAAATATCAAGATTTAAATGACATTTTATTTTGAAACAATTCCACTTGTACTAATTAACAGACTTTCTTAAGCCTTTTTAGAATGAGAATTCATAGTATTTTGTAACATTATAATTTTCTATTTATATTAATTATTTGAGCCTGGAAGAAATTATCATTGAAGTAAATCTTGTCGTATAAAACTTTCAATTATTATCGGCCAAAAATTATTATGAAAATGAAAACAAGGAAAAGATATTATTAGGTTTAAGCACACAAAACATTTATTTTTGTTGTGTCATGAGATAAATTTACAATATTAAATAAAATATTTATTTCTATAAATATTCAAACAAGAGTCAAAATTTCTTTAAACTCTTTTAAATTAAGAGGTTTTGATAGTACATCACTCATGCCTGCTTTTATACAATTAGAAATATCAGTAGCATTAGTGAAAGCTGTTAATCCTATGATGTGTATTTTTGGGATTTATTTTTTATTCATCATTTCATTAAGTTTGGCAGTTGTTGTACAACCATCCATTATAGGCATTTGATAATCCATCAAAATTAAAGTAAATAATTAACATTTTGGACTGCAAGGGATTGCTTATTCAACAATTCTAATTGCTTCAGCTCCATTAAATGCCTTAATTGATATTATATATATATTTACTAATAAAACATTAAAACCTAATTTGGCCAATAAAATTTGAATAGATTTCTAATTAAAAATTTCATCATCAACTGACAACAAATTTTAACAAGAACATTTTTTCTTTTTTTATAACAGTTTCAAAAATTCTTATTCTTCTTTCTATCCTGCTTCAATTATCATTTTTAAGTTTTAATGATTATTTACATATTCAACTTACTTTGAAAATTTAAATAATTTTTCTGTAATCAAAGATGGTGAAAGAGGTGAAAGTTATCCTAATTTGAATTATAATGATTCAAAAGATTAACTATCAGTACCATTAAAATCATTTTTATTAGATTCATTTCTTTTGACATTTTAACTAGATTATTTTAAATGATCTATATTAATAAAATCTGTTGCTTAAAATAAAGCACAATTTAGTTCTAAATTAAATTATTCCCCTTCATGTGAACTTTAAAATCTAGAAGAACTTTATCTTAATGTATTTTATCTAGGTCTCTCAATTTTATGTTAATTTTCAACGAAAAACCAAACTTATGATCCTTGATCATGTCCAGATGAATTAATTTATAAAAATTTGTTTTCTTTTGGTGCTAACTAATTAACTAAAATAGCAGAAATTAATAAACCAAATCCTTACCAAGTTTTATTTAACTAAATATTTTTGTATTATTCAATATTTTATAAAAGTGATTGCAATTAATTAAGATGATCATTCTCTATTCCTATACCTTAATCTGAAACACAAATTTTTAATCCTTAATTTTAGGTAGTTGATATTTACAAAACAACAACACCTTCTAAAGAAAATTTTAAAGAATTCTATAATAAATTTACTATTATTTAAATAAGTCTTAAATAATCAGATGTAAATTTATTAGTAGTACATTCAAGTAAATTAATCCTTAATTCTATCCTTTTCATTTCAAATTATGTTTTAAACAATAAAATTATCTCTTTAAGAATTTCTTTAATGGAAAATTCTCTAACAGAGAGTATAAAATTATTAGTTGATATTTATGATAAATCTATTATATCACTAATTATATATGATTGCAATTTTAATGAATTGATAGCTGGTTATAAATAATCATCTTTAATGTAAGTTTTAATTTCTTAATCGTATAGACAAGAGACAAGAAAATTTAGAGCACTATTTAATGGAGTTCTTAATTCATGAGAAAATGATTCTATAATCTTAATTAATATTTTAAGAAATACCTTTGATTTAAACTCAGAATTAGATATTAATTCTTGTAATTCATTTTATTTTGAAATATCAGTAAGTGTGAGTAGAACTTCACCTTCTTATTCAGAAAATGTTATGTGTCCAGAAAGTTAAAGCTTTTTTGGTTAAAATGAATAATTATAATTTACAGTAAAAGATTACCAACTTTGATCTGAATAAATTTCAATATGATGGCCAAACATTTTTTTATCTGAGACAGTAAATTACTTTATGTTTGTCAAAATATCAAAAATTGATTATTAAGATGTTGTTAAAAGTTCTAGTGAATCTCCCCCTTTTGATTATTCTTATTTTTATTAAGGTGAATGATATAGAGATATAGAATCACTTTTATATTGCCATATATTTTATTTCTTTGTTTATCTTTAGTTAATTTTTGGTTTCTAATATAATTATTTTATTTTATCAATTCTATCCTGTATTATACTGAATTATAATTTATGCAATATTAATTCATCTAATTAATCATCATTTTCATAGCATTATTTAAAATAAGTGTAAAGGAACTTATTTTTATAAGTTATTTTTAGATTTGGTAAACTTATAACCATAAAACATTATGGAATTAAATTTAAGCGATAATTCCATTGTTAATCTGTGGCTTTGATTGTATTTTGATAATTACTGGTAATATTGTATTAATATTATTTATTCTCATTAGAATTATCTATTATAAGTTTATTTATTTCAATCAAAATTGTGTATGCCAGTGTTATTGTTAAAAATAAATTGAAATTAAATATCATGATAATGAGAGCAATAAATCTTAAGAGTATATGATCAAACTGTTTAAATATACTATTTCTGGATGATAATGAATCTAAACGTTCGAATAATGCTATAATTATAATTGACAAATCAGAGCCAATAATAACTATAAGTATTAGTGTAGCAACTTTACTTAAAAGCACACAAATTTATTTATAAACAATAGCTTTTTCCTTTGGCAAAAATAATTATTACAATGCAAGAAATCCATTAATCGAACAAATGATTACTGAAATAAGTTGTCCTTAAGTATCATAAGTGATGGTTAGTATGTTAATTATTACTTAAAAAAGAAAGAATAGACTAATTGAGTAATCCTTAGTATAGCAATGAAATTAATTTCTATTTTTTGATTTTTCATTTATCATTATTATTTCTTGAATATATAAATGGCTTGTTACTTATTTTTTTTATTTAATTTAATACTATTTGAAGCTTAATTGTAAGTAATCTATTTATTAATACCTTTGATCATTACAATTATGATGTTTTAGAGCAGGTCTTACTTATTTTGATAAAAAAAACAAATCTAAATAATTTATGATAAATTATAATAGTTTCAATTCATGAACATTCCAGAATTGAAAAATAGAAATAAATATTGATTTTTCTATTACTTACCGATTAGAACTTTAAATAAAAATTAGGAATTATGTATTTTAAACTTTATAAAATGATTTTGTTGACCACACATTTGGAATTATGGAGTATTCTATAAGATAAAAAATTTATATTGAATTTGAAAAGTATTCAATTAGTTTTGGTTTGAGATAATTTCCTAATAAAATAATTTTTCTATGATTGATACAATATCAATAGGGTTTTTGTTTGTCAATTTTCTCGAAGTTTTGACAGCTGATTTTGAACTATCAATTTAATATTCCTTATACACATAAAAAAGAAATGTGAATGCAGTTTCTGCAAATACAACTTTTATTGTTAATTGTAAAAATTAAGATGCTCAGTATTGTTCAATTGAATTAAATTAAACATCGGCTAAAACAGCTGAAATAGCTTTACTTTATTTAGAAGGATAAGCACCATTTTTAGATAATAAGGAAGATTTAATTTATGAAGGTATGGATTATGATAGGTATTGTTAATGTTAAAATTGATTGATAGTTATGTATTAAAAAAAAGAAACCATTTTATTTCGATACCAAGTTCACCAAATAAAGTATATTTTACAGTATTAACAAATATATAAATTTCGTTCGATATATATTTAAGAGGATCCTAAACTATGTTATGTCCAAATGATTGTCAAGGAAATGGAATATGTTTTGATGGAGAATGTAGATGTGATTAGGGTTTTATTGGTAGAGACTGTTCATTGAAAGCTTTATAATTAGAAGAGGAATAAAATATATTTGTAAATGGTTCTCATGATTAAAACTTTTATTGTTATTTCGAATAAAATGGAACTAAAGATTTTAGACTTGAAATATCAGTAATTTTAATATTTATGTAGATACAAGATGATGAAAATGTAGCTTAAGTTTATATTCTTATTCCAGATTTAGTATATTTACCAACAAACTATTTCTTTAATGATGCAGCCAAAATAACAAAACATTCTCCTTTTATTAGAGAGATTGATCAGAAGAGTTCTAGTTATTAGAATAATTAAGATTAATATATTCCTAATAGATTAATTATTTTACTTCAAGGAGTTTAATTCAATATCAAGTTAGATTCAATTTCAAGAGATTACCAAAGCGAACAAATAAAAATTATTATTATTATTGTTTGTAGTGTAGCAGGTTCTTTATTAATTTGCTTTTTAATCTTTTTAATTAGAAGAGCAAGATTGAAAAGATCTATGGAAAAATAAACACCAGAAGATTATGAAATGAGAGAAAAAAATTTTACATATGGAAAATCATCAAACAAAAAAGAAGATGAATTTGTAACTATGGATAATTAAATCTATTCAAATGATCTATAAGATAATTGTGCTATTTGTTTGGATACACTCTCTAATACATAACCTATCAAATATACTCCATGCAAGTATTTATAAATATATGTCTAGACATGTATTTCATACTAAATGTATTGAAAAATGGCTATAGAAAAATCAATTTTGTCCTTTTTGTCGATATGATTTAAAAATAGACAATTTAAAATAATAAAAATAGTAACACATTAAAATACCAGCAACAAATTAAATTAGAATAATTAGAAGAAATAATTGATTCAGTATTTATAAATCATTCATTTTCAGTTAACAAAGAAACAAACTCTTAATAAGAAATCTTATTATTCAATTCTTATTTTTTTTCTCCCAAATGAATAACTTATTACCAATCTGATGAAGATAAATTAGTATTATAAAAGAAGATTTTAAGTTCATTAGCAGATATCTATTTACTATGATTTCTATCTAATTTATTAAAAAAATTCCTTAAATTTTCTTCTTTAAAAAGAGCTTTTTTATTACAAGATGCAATTAAAAATTCATTGAAATCTAAAAATTGATTTTCATTAATATCTAATTATGAAAATATTTTATCCACTTCTTACTTTGCTTAATTTTAATCTCCTGATCTTGCTAAATATTACTAATATAATTCAGCTTTAGATATTTTTCCATCATTATTTAGATCGATTTTATAGAAAGTCTAAGAAATTTTATCTCTTTCTTCTTAAGGCATTAAATATTCAATCATTAAACTCATTAATATTAATCTTAATTCATTTTTTCTCTAAAATTCTTTAACTCTTAATAAAGCACTTCATAGATGATCTTCTTATAGTCTTAAAAAATTAAAATTTTAAACACTCTTTAGCAGTAGGTCTCATTTTAGGATCTGGATTAATCATTTCGCTAATTAATTTATATGATTCATCATTAATTGAATTCAAATTAATATCTGCTTTAATATTATTTCTTTTGATATTCTAAATTGTCACTTATCTACTTTAATCTTTAAAGGGATGTGATCCATACATCAATTCAAATAAAATTATTCCAGCTGACCATATATCTGCCATTTAATTCCATTTATATTTTTCAAAAAAAGTTTCTGGAGCTCTATAACTAATATCTTAGTTTGAATCTTAAAAGATATCAAATAAATCATCAAGTCCAGTTAATTTAATTAAAAAATGAGATTTTTATGCAACAACTACTCCACTTGTTGAAATATTTTTATGTACTATTTCTTATTAATGTAAATAATAAATTCCAGACAAAACTTATTAAAAAACATAAGCAATATGAATTTTCTCTGAACTTTGCATTTCTTAATTTAATCTTTAATATAAATCTCCACCATTATAGTATTCTTCAACCAAATAAATATGTTTGTCATCATTATAAAAATCATATAACTTTATAATATTTGGATGATCCTAATCATTATAATGAAACTTACTAATTTTTTTATTTATTGCAAGTAATTAACATATTCGTTAATTTAATCATTAGTTAAAGTATTTTTAGCAATCTTAGCTATTCTTTTTAATCCTGTCACTTTATTTTCAACAACAAATATTTTTCCATTTAAACCATTTATTTACACTTTTTCTTCAGTAATAAAATAATCATTTTAGAATTTCTTGTTCCTATAAATTTATTAATGATCGCCTTAAAATAGTTCTGCTACTTTAGTTTTATCTAAAGATTTTGGTTATTTACTTTTTCTTTCTTCTGGCTTTGTATCTAAAGTTAGAAGTTTCTATTTTGGCAGATCATCCTAATCAGTTTTTGTTTTTTTTGTTTTTTTAGATGCTGAACAACCCATTAGATTCAATTATTTTTAATGTATTTAATTAAAAACAATTAAACAATTAAGTCATCAATAATAATATTTTTGAATTGAATATGATTACAATAATTTGTAATTTTAAATTATTAAATAAAAACATACATCTTTTCAATTCTTTAATTATTGAATCTAGGAAATAATCTTTAAATTTATATTTAATTAATAACCCTTAACCTTTTATCCTATTCAAAATTAAGTAATTCAGATTTATAAATTAAATTATTCTTTTTAATAATAAATTCTTTCTATTATTGTATTTTAAGTATCTAATCTTAAATTACATCATTATTAAGTAAATAACTATCTTCTATTTATTCTGATGTTACTTTCTTTTTATAACTGGAGGGACAAAAGAACAATCATTTTCTTAAACCTAATCTTAAAAATCTTATATATGAAACATCTGGATCTATAAGTAATTCTAATCTTACTGCCTTTAAGTATAACTTGAAAATGATGGATAATTCACACTTTTAATTGATTTGAAGATCTCTGACTTTTTATATAAATCTTAGATTTGAGTTCTCATTCTCTTTATTGAACAATTTACAATTTTTTCTTTAATTCATTTTAATTAATGTATTTAGAAAAATACTTGTATTCAAAGAAACTTTATTCCAATATTTTTTCAATAAATCATCATTTTTTTATTACATGAGACGTTTTAATTCTTCCTCCGCTTTTTTGATAATTTAATAGTTAAATCAAATTCTGATTTCTCTTTTTCTATTTACATTCTTCTCATTCAAATTATTGATCAGACTCTGGAACTGTTTAACTTAAGTAAGATTATATTTATTTATTAATACTTATTAATTTATTATTATTATAATTTATCCTATCTCTATCTTTATACGCTTCATACTCTTTATTTCTTGCTATAGACATTAGTAAAATAGAAATTTTGATAACATTTATTTTCTGAATATTTGATAATCATTAACTGAAATTATCTATTAGAAAATATGCTTATTTTGAGAATGTGCTCATACTAAAATGATTGATCAAGTCAATTATATATGCTAATCCATATTCATTAAACATTTTATCAAATTAAGAAGATATTAGTTCCTAAAAATTATTAATCTTATTCTTATGTATATTAAACATCATCATCAAATATAAAGCAATTTTCATCCATAAACTCAATAATTGATGTTTTTAAGATTGGAGATGTTAAATTTTCATAAAACTAAATCATAAATCCATATCTGTCTACTTTGCATATTTGATTACTTCTCAATTATTGTGTTTTTGATTAAAACTTTTAAGATTAATACTAAAAAATAAGTTGAAAATCGCATGAATTTAGTAAAATAAAATAATTAAATATGATAATAATGTTTGAGATTATATTTTTAGTGAATAATTAATAAAATATCTATATATCTATATGAATTTAAAATTACCATAGAAACATTAATAAAAAAAATTATTTTAAAATGGAAATCGACTATTTGATTACAATAAAAGTGCTAAGTATGATTGTAATGTTTTTGATGATTATTATAATGGGAAATATTCCTTTAAGATCAACAGCTTTCAAAGGAAATTAATTATTATTAGAATTAACAGGAGCATTTTCAGGAGGATTATTTTTATCAGTGGGAATAATTCATTTATTACCTGAGTCTATGAAATAATTTCATCTATTCTATAAATCCTAAGAATTAGAATCATTTGAAGAATTTCCTTATGCTTGTTTAATCACAGTCCTAAGTTTTGCTTTGATTTTGTATATTGAAAAAATAGCATTTATTCATGATCATACTATTGATGAAAATCATTCTAATTAAGTTACTGTAATAAACTAGCAAGAAGTATTTGGAGAATAGGATTGTCCTGAAACAAACAAGCAATAAATAACATCATCTTAGAATTAAGAACTTGATGAAGCAACTATAAATTCTTTAACTCCTTATATATTATAATTTGCGATTGGTAAATATAAATTGTAATGAGGAATTCATGCATTTTTTGAAGGTTTGGCAATTGGAATAGAATAATAAGTACCTTAATGTTTAGGTATTTCTATTGCAGTGATTTGTCATAAATGGGCTGAAGGTTTAACTTTGGGTTTATCTTTCAAAAAAGCAAGTATATCAGCATATATGATTATCATAGATACAAATTTATAAAGTGCAACAATAATGATTTTCATTTAAGGAATCATTAATCCTTTTGGTATACTTATAGGATGGCTCTTATCAAATCAAGGATTTATCATAACTGGAATATTTTAGTCAATATCTGCAGGAACATTCATTTATATAGCTACAATGGAAGTGATTTAAGAACAATTCAATAAGAAATCAAATTCTTATTAAAAAATGATGATGTTCCTATTTGCAATAGGATTCATTAGTTCAATATGGAAGATAGAAAAATTAAGTTATTGAAATAATTAATATTATGTATAATGTTTTAATGCTACTCATAAACCTAGAGATGTTTCTAAATTTTTGATACATTTAAGACTACTAAAATCTTCAGATGATCCATCTTCTTTAACAGCAAAGAAACATCGAGTTTCTGCATGATCTGGATGTTATCCAACAGTAAAATGTTTTAATCCATTTAATTTTTAATCTTTTTTATCATGATATTGTAATAAGGATACAAGCATTGAATGATATGGTTCTTTTAAAGGAGTATTATTTTCAGATCTAGCTAAAATAGTTTTAAAAATATTTTTCAATTAAGAAATATCTCTATACTAAACATATAAATAAATGTATTACTTTTTAATTATGAAAAACAATATCTTTTTTTTACTTTCTTTATTCATATTTTTTATTTCCTCCTTTACCAGCACCTCCATGAGCAAATGTTTCTTTAGCTCTTTTAATAATAGTTTCATAATGTTTTCCGTGATGAGCCCAAAATTATGTTAAATCTTCTCCATTTGTTACTCTAATTTCTAATTGATGTTCTCCTATCTTGATACCCTCTGAAGTCAAACGAATAATATTTTCTTCTGGAGTTCTTGGTTTAGATAAAGCAAAATTGCCTTCTGTTTTACCATATCTAACATATGGAGAACTTATATTATGTTATTTCATTAAAGCCTCTGTTATTTAAGTCCAATTAACTGCAACTCCTGTTGGAGCCTTGACAGTAAAAATTAAAGGTTCAAAATTGTGATATGGATTATCAATAACTTCTTCTTCAGGTTTTTCTTCCTATTATTATTGAACTACAACTGCTTCACCAGTATTTGTTTTTACTTTTTTATTTGTTTGAGTAATAATTAATTCTGGTAAAGGTTTATTATTTAATCTTCTAACACCTAATTTATTTAAAAACAATTGTTACTTGTTTAATCTGGGCTTAATTCAACCTCAGTTGAAGTTTTTATTGCCTCAATTAATTATTCTTGAGTTATTTTCATTTACTTAACTTTATTGCATTTAAGTATAAATTATAGTTATAAATAACCATCCTAACTTTGACTAATCTACTTAGAGAAGAATTCATCTTAGGATAGGTTTTTATCTGACAAATAATATTCCACTTATCTTTTGATCTCTTCAATACTCATATTTTGTGATTTATTCTTTCTCAATTAATTAATTAATTAATTAAAAATTTTTTTGATTTCTTATTCATTTGAATAATGAAAACAATGTTTTCTAATTTTTAAATTTAGGAAATGAATTTATTTAATAGTTATTTTTTTAAGGATAATGTTTACATCATTATAATGTTTTAACAAATAAATAAATAATATAAAGTGATTAATATTAGAATTCAATCTCTATTTCTTATATACAAAAGTAATTCTTATTTAAAATTATGAATTTTTTATAGCCAAAGACATATATTGATTTTCTTGATGCACTTCTTTATAAATAACAATAAATTTCAAAAGAGTTTTTAAGTTATTGGATAATAATTACAGATATTTAAAAAAAATTCATAGTGGAAGTAGCTATAAATTGTTAATTAATTATATTATTAAATATGTTAAAAATATTCAGAAACCTTTAACTCATTTCAAAAGATGAATTTGATTTTTCTCTATATTAATGTACCTCTAGTGAAAACAGTGATGTTCCAAAACCAAAATACATGAAAGTACAATCAATTTTTATGTAGCCAATTATCGAATGTCTAAAAGGTTAAGATCAAAAGATTTTACCTTTAGATGCATTCAATAAATTCTATGATATCTTATGTCAGGTCCAATACAACAAATGGATAAGTGCCTTAAAAATTGCATATGTCCTCCATTACTGCTTAGAAGTATATTCAATTTTTTATGTATATTATCAAAGAAATAATGTAACATCTTTGTTGATGCTGTCTGCAATAACCATCTCTATGATAAAATAAAAAATAAGTAATAAAGGAAAACAGAAGATCCAATTGCATAATTGCATATAAATATTGTCCAAAATCTCTTTTCTTACCTTTAAATTAGATATGAGAATTATCTGTTTTTCCTAAATGCTCTTTCTGATTTTGAAGAAAAAGAAGAATATCAAAAAACCTTTATCATACACAAAATCGTATCTACAATATAGGTTTTAGTTAAAATTCACAAAGATTTAGATATTTCTTTGAAAAAATTTCAAAACATTGAAGTTTCTAAATATGTCTGTGTATAACTTCTTAATGATCTCTATTTTTTCTATCCGAAAGTCCAAATCTACTTACAGTCTCATATTAATAAAATGCTCCATATGGAAAGTGAATAATCATTAAAATTATATTAAGTTTATACTGAAACACTTAGACTTGGAAGAAGTGTAACACAAATGTTGAAATTATGTAACGAAGTTGCAACAATTCAATCCTACCCTCAACTTTAATTATTTACTGTAGAATAAAATATTAATAGATAAATAGAATTACACTTCAAAGAATAGAAAAGGCAACCTAGTCCTATCAAATTTGATATTGTTAAATTTGATGATGAAAATCTTATTGAATAATATAAAGATGACTAAATCCATACTCCAAAAGTACTTCAACAATTTCAAAAAATGGTAACCTAACTAACTGAAAGTTAAGAACCAGAACCAGATTAAATTGATTTTAGAATCTCTCATAGACCAAAAACTGAAAGATAATAATAAAATTTTAAAATTAAGAAATAAGAATCTAATGAATAATCTATGATATAATCTGTCATATCAACATCAGATAATGGTTCTAGTATAAGGAATATCTAATTTAGTCATCAAAATAGCTTTAGAAATGAATTTTTCAATTAAACTGAAAGTCCATTAAATTTTATTGATTTTTCTCAGTAGCACTAACATTAAACAAGAAAGAAACAATGATCAATAAATTTTTGGTAAATTTTTATTAACATGATAATAATTATTCTTATTTTTTTTTATTTTTTATTTTATAAGAATCAATCCAAAAGTATTGCATTAATTCTTTCCCCCATGAAACTGTATTATTTATAAAAATTTATGAAAAAGCAAATGATTTTCTCAAATTTTATAAGGATATAATCTTAACAATAATTGGTAAAGATAAAATTAAGAATATTAAAAACAATTATAATTGAACATCTACTTTACGAAAGTGAAAATAAATTGATGTAACTTTTTTCTATTGTATTTTTTCGATATAATTAATAATGCAGTTTTGCTTTATTAGATTTAAAATAGGATAGTAAAATTGAGATACATAGACAGATGTTCATTTTGAATAAGAAAATCAAATATTTATAAAACATTGTATTATATTATTTAATTTATATTACCGTTAACTTAAATGAACTAATTTGCCAATTACTTAGAATATTACACTCAACGAGACCTTCCATACAGTCAGAGATCCCCTAAAGCAAAAGAAATAAAAAAGGAATGGAATTTTAGTCCACAATTCAGTCCTCATCGATCTCGATTTAATCTAAATGACTCATAACTAGATAGTGAATCTTAAAATTAAAGAACTATAGTGAATAGTAAAATAAAATAGAGAAACAAAATTGAGGATAAGGAAAATTTAATAAATCGATAAAATATTGTTTTGAACTAGTAAATGAAAAAGTGTTAGAAATTAATGAGTCCTCGAAAAGAAAAAAAGAATTTAATAGAGAGTTCGTATTTATTACCAATAGATCAAATCTTAACTATTAGTATATAGTCATCAACAGATGAGAATATTGTGGAGATAGATTCTGTGAAAAAATCATCTGAAAATTAAATAAATAATTATTAGGTTTAAGAATTCGAAGATAATTCTTATAATAATGAGAGTGTGCATTAATCATTTAAAAAAATAAAAATTTAAGATGATTATTATTCAAAAGTAAGTCTATAATTATGAATTTTAAAAGGATTACAATAAGCAATTAAAATTAGAAGATGATTTCGAATAGATTAATAGTTTTAGATAGCACATATAAACCCCTAGATAATAATAGATGAAGAATATCAGTTTTGTTATGTATAAGAAATAAGTGGAGGGTAGATTTTGATTGTATTGTAGTTATAATTGAAATATTATTGATCATTCATTGTAGTATTCATTTTACATTCTTCTATCTTTTTTATTTTTTAATTCTTAGACTCTTTATGAAAGATACTTCAAATCAATAATACTTTTTGAATGAATTTTATCTAATTCTTTGAGTTTGTCAAGAATGTCTTTGATTAGGAGTTATCTATATTTTTATACACTTTCTACAGATTTAGAATATTGATCTAATAAGGAATCATATAAATTTAATTTTTCTTGTGCCCCACAATTAATAAGTTCATCTAATCTCATTTGATATTAATTGGCATTTTATAATCGAATTTATAATTCCTAAAAAAGAGTTCCAAATTTACATACTTTATAGTTTTTAGCAAAATTGATTAGAAACAAAGGAGGTGCAAATTGATTTTTAGATTTCTCTTTGTTCATTCTACTAGGATCAATTGTTTCAAGAATATTTTGAACTTCTAACTTAGTAAATAATTATTTATCTTCCCATTATTTGATTAGGTCTTTGACTTACTATTTTAGATCTTGAGTCCAAGTATAATCTTTAAGTAAAAGAAAGGCTTTGATAATTTATTTTTTAAAAGCATCACTCATGGAGGCATCTGAAATAGAGATAAAAGATTTACATGCTCCTTCGAATTTGATGATTGACTCAATAACCCTATGAGCCATATAAAGTAGAGAAATAATAACTTTATCACCATCAACATTGCCTTTTGCAAAATGAAAATAGTTGCACCATTCTTCACAAAGGGATTGTTGAGATTTTTAATCATGACTGTGTCTAATATAGAATCTAGCAGCTTCATCTATATGAGATTAAGATAGATGAATATTATTCAGAAGTTGACTAAGAGAAACAATATTGATTTCATTGATCATTTTGAAGTGGAATAATTTTAATTAAGAATATTAAAAAATTGATAAAAATAGGGGGTTTAGATTAGACAATATATTTTATTGATATAAATTAAATAACAGATAAATTTTATTAACAAATTTTACTTGTTTTTCAATGAATGATTTAACACCCATAAAGGAAGTCGATCTTAATAAATAATCATGGACAAGTCCTAAAGATAAGAGTGATCGTGTATAAATTTAATTTTATTTAGTTTATTCCTCGTAATGTATAATCAAATCTCTATCAGTTATTCATGAGTGAAGAAAATAGTTAAGGCACACTTTACAATAATTTGCTTTAGTCTTCGATTTTAGGCAAATCTCCCACAGTAAATCAGAAACTATTCAATTATAAAACTGAAAATAAATAAAACGAAATGAATAAAATTATTAATAATGGATTAAAATTTTCAGCAACTCCAACAAAAGTAGAACCTGAAAAGCCCCCAAGAAAAATCAATAAACGTCCTTATAAAATATTAGAGGCTGAGAATCTATAAGATGATTTTTATCTAAATCTATTAGATTGGTCACCTTTTAATGCTTTAGCAGTAGGATTAGAGAATTCAGTATTAATTTGGTCAGGTCATACTTCAAAGGTTTCACGTTTATGTACTCTTGAAGATCCAGATATGGTATGTAGTGTAGCTTGGTCATAACGTAATCAACATCTTTCAGTAGGAAATAGTATGGGAGAAGTTGAAGTATGGGATGTTGCTAAATAAAAAGTTATTAGAAAATGGAATGGACATTAAGGTAGAATTGGTTCTTTAGCATGGAATAATTATTTATTAGCCACTGGCAGTCGAGATCGTAATATTTTGGTTAGAGATGTTAGATGTCCAAATGAATCAATTTAAAAATATATTGGACATAAATAAGAAATATGTGGATTAAAATGGTCATTTGATGAATAACTATTAGCATCTGGTGGTAATGACAATAAATTGTTTATATGGTCATTAAAAAATCAAGGAGAATTGACTCATTTCTCATAACATTAAGCAGCAGTAAAAGCTATAGGATGGTCACCTCATCAACATAATATTGTTGCATCTGGTGGAGGTACTGCTGATAGATGCATTAGATTCTTTAATACTTAAACTATAGAGTAAGTTGATTGCATTGACACTGGATCTTAAGTCTGTAATTTAATGTTCTCTAAAAATTCTAATGAATTAGTTTCAACTCATGGATATTCGTTAAATTAAATTATTGTTTGGAATTATAATAATATGTCCAAAGTTGCTACACTAACTGGTCATACCTAAAGAGTTCTTTATTTGAGCGGTTCACCTTGTGGTTAAAACATTGTAACAGGAGCTGGTGATGAAACTCTTAGATTTTGGAATGTTTTTCCTCAATCTGCTTCTAAAAATGATCATGGAATCACAAGAGCAGAAACCATCGATTTACGTTGAAAATAATATTTCTATATTACTTTTTTAAGTTATTAAATCTTTATATTATAATGTCCGTCAAAGTGGCAGTCAGAGTAAGGCCGTACAATTCTCGTGAACTTGAATTGAATTGTTCATTATGTGTGGCTATGAATGGTCCAACAACTATATTGTTAGGTAAGTAATATGAAATAAACAAAAGATCTTGAGGATTCCAAGAAAAATAGAGATTTTGCTTTTGATTATTCTTTTTGGTCTCATGATTCTTTTGAGAATGATGAAAATGGATACAGTAGACCAATCCCCGGTAGCAAATATGCAGATTAGTAAATGGTATTCGACACAGTTGGTACAGAAATTTTAAATAATGCTTGGTAAGGTTATCATTGTTGCTTATTTGCATATGGTTAAACAGGAGTAAGAATAATAATAATAATTAAGGCTGGTAAATCATATTCAATGGTTGGATATGGAGCTAATAAAGGTATTGTACCAATATCATGTGAAGAGATTTTTAAGCGAATAAAAAAGAACCCAGATTCTCATTTAAGTATATAGATAGACAATATAATGATTAGCTTATGAAGTATAAGTGAGTATGCTTGAAATATACAATGAAAAGGTATAAGATCTACTTGTACCAGTTGTTAAAAGGCCAACAGGAGGTTTAAAAGTCAGAGAACATAAAGTTTATGGAGTTTATGTAGAAGGATTAACTAAATATCCAGTTGATTCATATGAAGCAATAGAGGCAAAGATGGATGAAGGAAGTAAGCATAGAACAGTTGCAGCAACTTAAATGAATGCATCGTAGATTATTCTATATTATTGATTAGTTCTTCGAGAGCACATACAATTATTTAGATAGAGTTTAAGGAGATAAAGAATGTAGATGGAAGAAAATCAGAGAAGTTATCAGTTATTAATTTGGTTGATCTTGCAGGTTCAGAGAAAGTAGGAAAGACAGGAGCATAAGGTGATCGTTTAAAGGAAGGTAAGGTTTAATAATATAATTTAAAATAGCTGGTAATATAAATAAATCATTGTCTGTGTTGGGATAGGTTATAGCAGCATTGGCTGATAAGGCAATGGGTAAAGGAAAGAATGCAGTAGTTCCATATAGAGATTCATAGTTAACTAGAATATTATAAAATGCTTTAGGAGGTAATTCAAAGACATTGATGATTTGTGCTGTTAGTCCTGCTACTGATAATTATGAAGAAACTTTGAGTACATTAAGATATGCAGATTAAGCAAAAAAGATTAAGAATTGTGCTGTTGTTAATGAAAGTGATGTAGATAAGAAACTAAGGGAATAATAAGAGGAAATTCACTCTTTGAAGTAGTAATTGATGATGTTGTAATAATAATTAAAAGGTGGAGTAATTAATCCTGAAATGTTAAAATAATTATCTTAGATTTAAGATGATATTGAAACTAATGAAACTATTATGTAAGAGAATTAAGAATCTTTTTAATCTAAATTAGAGAAGTAAAAATAAAAAGATGAAGAAGAAGATGATGTAGATTTATAAAATGAAGGAATTAAAGAACATCCACATTTGGTTAATTTAAATGAAGATCCATTATTAAACAGAAAGATATTAAAATCTTTAAATTAAGAGGAAACACATGTAGGAAGACCTAATGGAAATCCAACACCTTAAATTGTTGTTAATGCTATGTGTGTATAACCAAATCATGCAGTTATAACAAATAAAGAAGGAATTGTTGAAATTAAACCATTTACAAAAGAATGTGGTGATTTTATTTTTGTTAATGGTTCACCAATTACAGGTCCTACTTTATTACATCATAATGATAGAATTATCTTTGGAACTACAACTACATTTTTAGTTTAAATTCCAGGATCTGAATAAATAGAATAAGGACCTGAAATTGATTGGGAATTAGCATAATAGGAAATGTAAAAAAAAGAAGAAGAAAAAAGACAAGAACAATAAAGATAGGCAGAAAAGTAAGTGCATGAAGAAATGCAAAGAAAAAAATAAGAATTAGAAGAATAGAGAAAAGAAGAATAAAGATTATATGAAGAACAAATGAAAAAATAATAAGAAGATTTTGATAGGAAAATGAAGGCTTTAGAAGAATAGAACAAAGATATGTTGAATAGAGCATTGATGGCTGAAGAGGAAAGAAAATTAATAGAAGAGAGAAAGAAATTAGAAGAAGAAACATTACAAAAATAATTGCAAAGAGAAAAAGCTAGAAAATAATATGAAGATGAAGAAACTATGAAGAAATATAGAATTAAAGAAAAGAATTTTATCGAGAATAAATTATAAAAGTATTTACCTAAAGTATTGGAAGTCAATTTAATTGCTAAAGAACTTAAACGAAATGTTACTTTAGAAGCTAGATTAAAATATGTATATGCTGATGATTAAGAATACTCTTAATTTACTGAGGAGAATGCATAGAAAGGATAAATTCAAATCTAGGTTAATAATAAAGAAGAAGGATAAATTTATTATTGGGATTTACATAAATTTTCTAATAGATACTATATAATAAAAGATTTATTAGAAAGGTATTTTGAATCTAATCAATTATTATCATTACCAAAAGATTAAGATCCTTTTTGGGATCCTCCTGAAGCAAGAGTTATTGGTTCTGGATTTCTTAAATTATAAGCTTTAGCTTATTTGATGGATAATCCTTGTGATTTGACTCTAGTAGGAGAACATTTCTAATGTGGGACTTTAAAAGTTAATTTAATTCCTACAGATGAAACAGGATAAAGAAATTTATCAGAAGATATTGAAGATGGCATTGAACCACCTGTTGAAGATCCATCTGAATTAGTTGGTAGAAGATTTGATTTTAGAGTTTCAATTGAAAGCGCAAGATTACCAGAAAATCTATGCAAAGATACTTATGTTGAATATTCAATATAAGTAGAAGAAAAAAAGAAAGAATTATTTAAAACTAAAACTGTATAATTCTATCTAATCTTTTTAGTTATCTGGAGCTCATCCAAATCCTATCTATAATTACGATTAGTAACATACATTTGATTAATTAACTGAGGTTTAATTGAACTATTTAATAAATGGAACAGTAAATTATTTATTATTTATATCAGATTTGTTTCAAAGTATATGGATATGACGAAAATAAGAGTAAAGACCTTAAAAAAAGAGAAATACCAGTAGAAAATCTGATTCCACAATAATAGACTACCTAATTACCTAATCAAACTTCTATTTCGCAATAACCATAATCCAGTTAATCAACTGAATAAGCTAAGAAATAAGAAGAACATATAGATATTTTAACCAAAACAATTAATTAATCAAAAAATATTTAATAATAATAATAATAATAATAATAACAATTATCACAACAACCTAATAAACCAGTTTAACAAATCTCTTAAGTTAAGCAACCAATCGAAAGTAAATTATTAAATTATCTCTAATTAGAATTTAATCCCATTCAACCACCCCCATAAACTATTAATAAATAAGATAATAGATAGGATAATAGATAATCAGTAAAAGAATATGAAGATCATACTTCAGAACAATAACAAATGAAGGCTAAATTACAATAATAATAAATGAATGCTCAAAAACCAAGAAGTTCATCCCAAGATAGAACACCTGCAATGATGTCAAAAGGAAAACCTGATCCAAAGAAAGGAACTAAAAAAGATGATGGATGCAATATATTCTGATAAAACATAAATCAATATTATTAGTCAGCTGGTCCTACATAATTATCATTATCGAATATTCCTTCTGCTTATACTCCATCAGGAGAAACATACAATCCTTTTCCATTCATTCTATCCTTATCCCAATTACCTAATTTTATTATAATTCAAATTACCTTCATAATATGAATGATCATTCCATTGATATCTTCCATATCCTTATCTTAATCCATCTGCAAAATGACCATCATATATATCACGATTTGCAAATTTATACAAACCTTTTCCATTTTTTCTTCCTTATTTCCACTCTCCCTCATAAATGTCTCCAGAAACCATCTTCAATATTCCATACCCATGTTTTTAATCATTCACAAATTCTCCTTCATATTAATCGCCATTATTGTATTTATAACAACCTTTTCCATTTCTCTCTCCTTCCTACCAAAATCCTTAGTATATATCTCCATTGCCATATTTCATTCTTCCATTCCCACTTCTTTAATCTCTAAACCACTCCCCTTAATATTCTGATCCATCTTATCCATGCTTATATACTCCTTTATTTGTTTTCTGTCCATTATCATAAATACCCTCATACTTATCTCCATTTGAATAACTAAAAACTCCTTATTAATGATATTAATCATTGAGCCAAAATCCTTCGTATCTTGATCCAGATGCAAAAATATAAGTTCCTTATCCATTTTTCATGTTATTGTTCCACTCTCCTTGATAATGATCTCCATTAGCCAAAACTAAAGTTCCTTGCCCTGATTTCACTCCTCTTACCCAAATTCCTTCATAAATATCCCCATTTGGATATCTAAATTTACCAAATCCATCCTTCTAATCATTCACCCATCGACCATCATATTCTGCTCCATTTATATACCAATATATCCCTTGCCCATCTTTTTTACCTTTATTGAATAATCCTTAATATCTCTCTCCACTTCTATAAATGTATGTTCCTTGGCCTTAAAATTAATCATTCCATGGTCCAAAATACACATCCCTTTAATTAGGTCTTTATAACATTATACCCACTTGCAAAATAGTAAATTCCGTATCCTTTTCTTACATCATTTTCAAGTTCTCCCTCATATCTTCCGCCATCAGCAAAATTTTAAACTTTGACTTCAGCTCTTTTCTTTCCAGTTTTTGGATCTATCAACTAAGCTTTAAACTATTCAATTAATTGATTATTTTCATTGATGAATTGCTACCTCATCATATCATCATGATTATTATAAGATTAAGGGTACATTTTGAATTTTTAATATAAAATAAAACTTAAATTTGATATCTCAACGATTATTGCTATTTCTATTAAGTTTGACAAACACAATATTAGATTATAAATTTATATAACTTATAATTTATAAAATCTTTCAACTACGAATTCTTTGCATTTATTTGATCAAAATCCTATCTCTCCTTATTATCGATTTTTAATGTTAATATAAATTTGATTTGAATCTTATTCATAATCTTTTAGAAGATTTCTCAACTCTGTTAAAAAACTACTATATTTTACTTCCCTTTACTATTTCCCTTGATTTATATTCTTAATGTAAAATTCTAGACATGAATAAAAGTAAATCTAATGAATATCCATAATTTTTAATATTTCCCATAGAATAGGTCTAGCATGACTCTTAAAATTTATTTCAAAATATTTACAAAAAGGAGTGCTGTGGAAATTGTCAATTTTCTTGAATCATCAATAAATAGACTTGTAGGCATTTATTCTTTTTGAAATGAATTTACTAAAAATGCTATTTCATCAGCTGTATCAATTGCATAAAGTATTTCTGGAACTTATGTTTTTACTTAATAGCAATTCTTATCATCTATCATTTCAATGCGATAAGTAATTGTAAATTTTTTAATATCATTATCAACTTATACTCCTGATTGAGAAATTGCCACATATATCAGATTTTGAGGATTAATTGAAGAACTCCATTTAATATCAAAAATTTCAGATATGTTTTATAAATTTTATGGATCGTTTATATCTGTTTATATATTTGATTTTATTAATTCTAACTCATGTTTTGTATATAATTATTTCCAATTTCTTCTAGTTGTGATTTTATTATCATCTTTTAATTAAATCAATTTTTTTTGAAATTGTGTATAAATATCATAACTAATACCTTAAATTTGTTTATTTTATAAATATGTAAAAAATTTCTATGTATTATTAGTTAAGGTCTCTTCATTGATATTTTAATCCAAAATATTTTATTCTTCTTCTAAATATGTGTATAGAGTAGCTAGTAAAATTTGGTTGCTGTTCAATTAATATAAAAATTAGGATTATTTCAAACCATATCTAATCATTTTCTTTTTCACCTAATTTTCAGAGTAAATAAAATCAACTCCTAAACAAGTTTCTTAAATTTAATAAGGATCAATTTAATCTATTTCTTCAAAAAATTTATATTTATCTTTGATTTTTTTATACAATTTGATTTCTTCATCAATATACTTAACTACATCTATGAACTCTGTCAATAATCGTAATAAAAAGATAAAAGTCTATAATGCTAATAAATTTATTATTTACTAAATTTTGAAAAATACTATTTCTGAACTCATCAAATAATCTGATATTTAGCTTCTTTTACTGAGCTATTTATTTGGCTATATGTAAAAACTTGGAATAAATAAGTAAAAATCACCTTCCATCTTTTTATAAAGGAGATTATCATAAGAAGGATCTAAAAATAGACTCATTAAATATTTATTTTTTTTACCCAAAGTTTGCACTCCAATGAAATATTTCAACCAATGATTGAAAAACTGATTTAATTCCATTTACATCTAAATATTTTTTATTTGGGTAAATTCTTGTTAAGGGTAAAGCTTTTTAAAATTACTCTTAGCCATAAATAACTGGATACTTATATCCATTATTTCCTTCATAATAAAATTGTATGTTTAATTGATGGTCTAACTTTGATATTTATTTAATCTTTGCTATTCTTAAATATTAACTCATAGGAAATCTTAATAGAAATCTTGATTTACTTTAAACTTATAATATCCTATAATTTTAGATAACCCCTAAAAAAATCTTCCAATATTAAAGTTTCAGATTAATTAAATGCTAAAAACCTGAAAGTCTAATCATTTTCAATATACTCATACGTTTGTAAGGACATATAAAAATAGAGAAATAAATTGTAATAGAAAAAAATAATAATTAAAATCATATGATAATTTTCTAATATTTTTCTTCTAAATATTCGTAACGCCTTAATTCTTTTTCTACCCAATAAGGAGTATCAGGAATGGACACATCTAAAATGTATTTAATTAAGAGTAAAATATGTTCAATTGCAGCTAGAAAAAAAGCACTATAAAGGGCATCCTAATTACCAATGATTCCTTTGAATTGTTCTTTATTAACAGTTCCAATTACAATGCAATTCATGAAAGTTGCGCAATAATTTAAGATTTCAAATATTTGTAACCAAATTCCTATAGAATCAGCAGCTTAGGCTCTTTCTCTCTTTAAGATGTGTTAGTAATTATATATTGATGATCTTAGATTGATATAGCAGTTAATCATAAAGAATAAGGGAGCTGCTGGAAAAGTTGGAGCAAACATTGTAGTATATCCAAATTATATTGCAATACTTGTGTATTCATCATAGAGTAGTTTTTAAGGGCCTTTGATTCTACTAATTTCTAATTCTTGTAAGAAGAGTAGTTATTAATCATAATTTAATCTTTCTGATGAGAAAACTTAATTACATATTTTAGGTATGCTTTTTTTTTCTTAAATTCTTTTTGCAAATAACAATTTAAATTCAGAAAACAATTTAGATAATAAACGTTTTTCAAATTTAAATATGGCAAAAGGTAATAAATTACTTTTTACATTAGAAATAACTCCTCTTGTAATTATAATACTAGCTACTGATACACTTAATGAACTTGCATCACTTTCAAAAATTGCTACATAAACAACTGAAACATAGGAAATGAGAAATTCAAATAAGAAGACTTTTAAAATATAAGAATATTCTTATTCAGTTTCATACATATGATTTTCCCAACTTACCAAAGATTTACATAACCTTTTATATAAATCACAGAAAACCGTCATAGATACTCCATTCAATGAGTTTATTACAATAGGCATAATTGGATCATTTTAATATTCTTTTAACCAAAGATTGAAAGCATAAAAACTCAATACAATAATAGCAATCCCAATTAAAATAACAGGACCTTCTGCAATCAATCTCCTTTTAAAAGTAGTAAAATAATCATAGATTTAAATTTTATTATTAGCTTCATTAATAATATATTATCCAGTATACATAACCCTTTAAGGTTGAGTTTATTTGAATTTGTGCATATCCCAACAAAATTTTAATTCTGATTCTCTATTCTTCCATTTCTCCATAAACAAAGTAGACCAGAGAGTCATAAGTAAAGCATAGAATGGAACAATAGATGAACTTATATATTTTATATTTTTACTTTACTTATTGAATTATTATAATATAAATTCCTAAAGCTGCTCCAAAAAGAGATGGAATAATCAGCCAGCCTATTATTTGAACATTTAAAGCTATATACCATGCAACTACTGGGCCAAAATAAGAGGATATGGCATGCAATGGTCTTAATGCAATTTATTATGTTTCATATCGGAAGGAATCACGAATACAATTATTTTGTTATTCATCCCAAAATTGAGTAATCTTTTCACATTTTTATTTATCTTCTAAGGGAAAATGAGAAATAATTAATTATTCTAAAACAAACTTATCAACATCGAATTCATCATTCAAAGTTTTCAATATTAACATTTATACTTACAAATCTTTTGGAAATTCAAAAAATCTGCTCTTCTAGTAATTGAACTAACAAATATACTAATTTTATTTATTCATTTTTTACTTTTGTTTAAAAATTATAACAAGATATTTCATAAAGATCAGCTAATCTGTATATAGAATCTGGAGGAAGTTTCAAAACATAATAATGATATAACGGTTTAATCTTTTTATTATCAGAATTCTCATGATATTATTCTAATTAATCTAAATTTGGAGAATGGAAAATTAAAAATTCAAAACTCCATCCTCTTTCTTTAAATGTTTATCTTATATTTTATAATTATAAATAAACGATATCTTGATCTACATTTTGTGTTCCTTTTGTTTAAATTACATATTAATATCCTAATTCTGTTAAACTTTTTATCTCTTATTTAACTTAGATATTTTCTTCATAGAATTCCATAAATTTTGAATTATAAGTTAATTCAAAAGGTTTCAAACATCTACTATTAACTGCATCTACTGATATTCCATGTGAGATTAGTGTTTTCATACAATGATATTTTTCTTATTCAATAGCTAAATGAAGAGCATTTGATGGATTTTAATCAGTAAGAATATTTATACATTCTTTCTTTAACTAATAGATTAAAATTTATTACTTTATTAAATTTGAGATTCTTTATATCTTTCTTTCTCTTTTTATTTAATACTTCTGAACTGTCATAATATTCATAATCATTTTCTAAAATTGTTTTTAAAATTTTTGGTTTTCCTTTGTAAGCTGCAATATGTAAACAATTGAATCCTTAATAAACATTGAGAAAAGGATTGCATTTTCTTTATAGGAAATATATAAAGAATTCTTAATTTCCTTATCTTGCAGACCAATATTATAATCTACATTCATATTTTTAATGAATAGTTAGGACAGTTTTATTATGAAAAATAACAAACTTTTCTTTTTATCCTTTTTCTAAATCATCAGTATTGAATATTAATGTGTTTTTTTATTTATTACCTTTATGATTTCTTCTTCTTTGTATAGGTATTTCAAAATTAGGCTCTACTTAAGTAGGTTAATTATTATTCGAATTGTATTGTTGAATTTATAGTAGTTCATCTTAATTTGTTTCTGTAATTATTTTACTATTATTTGTATTTTTTGAATTAAATACTTTAATATCAGGAATTTTCTCTTCCTCTGGTTCCTTCATTTCAATACGAGAATCATCATATAATGGAATATCTGCAATCTCATCTAAAAACTTTTATTAAATTCTTTAACTAGATGTTTTTTATTAAAATTTTAAGGCTTATTAACTATGAGGTGTTTTTTAAGTGCTTTTAACATTTGTATTTTTAGAGATAAAAGAATTGGAAGCATAACTTCGATTGATATTTGAAATATTTAAACAAGGTATTCCATATCTAGATGGTTCTGATTCAGGTGATGATTCTTCTTCTTATTATAAAGTTTATATTAATGGAATTTAAGATGTAATTGTTGTAGCTTTTCTTTATATTCTTTTTTTTATTTTCCTCTTTAATTCTTATTTGGTTGTAACATATGCATAGTTTATTACTATATTTTAAAAGATATCCCCAACCTCTTTCCTTATTCATACTTTAATAAAATATACTTATATTATTCTGGTCTATTCTCTAAAAATAAATAATCAATGGGAAAATTTCCTTATTGCTCAGTTTACAATTGTAAATTGAAATTTTATGCAATTAAATAATCCACTAATTCTTTATTGCCATAATAACAAGCCCAATGTAAAGGATTAGGTTTATAAGTAGATTGACGAGGTATTGATGCTCCATTATCAACCAATAGTCTTATTGTTTTTTCTTACTTTTCAGGATTGTATTCTCCAGAATATCTAATATAATTTATTTTATCAAATACCCTTTGATGCTTGCTAATTCCAATGGGGTATATGAATGCATATCTCCCTTATTCAAATCAATCATTTATTTATATACTTTACACCACCATTTCAATAATTTATATTGCCCTAAATAAGCTGCCCAATGAACAACACTTCTTTTCTAATCATCTACCATATTAAAAAATTCCAATAAATTTTTATGTGCACATTTCAATTCTTGTTCAAAGTGGTTTTTTAAAGTGATTATATCTCCATCCTTAACCCATTCCAATAACTGGGTTTAAGTAATTTGCATTGAAATTTTAAATATTGGAATAAAAATATATAATTTACTCAATTCCAAAAATCTTACTAATCATTAATTCTTAAATTAACTAATGATTTATCTTTTATTCTTATAGTAGTATATTATAATATTTTAGTAGTTTTAATGGATTTACTTGAATTCAATATAAAATTATTGATCAAAATTGGGATCGAATTTTCAAATATATAAAATCTATTTATCCTAAAATATGATTCAAAACTAATGATTTAAATTTATTAATTCAAAATATTCATTAAATAAATTTACAAATCATAATTTAATATTCACTTTCATGTTATTTTATAAAACTAATATTTTGATTTTTTTTTATTTGAAAAACTTTCACAAAATCAACCTATCTTCTCTTTTAATTTAATAAACTCTGTTAAAATATGTTAATAATGATTAAAAATTCAATATTCTTAAATTTATTTAATAAAAATTTTTTTTTTATAATAAAATTATATGAATAACATACTTTAAACTTAAATAATGAAGGATATAAAGAGAGATCACGGATAATTTTTATTAGAGAAAATGCTTGAAAAATTTAAACTTATTGTTTTTTAAGAATAGGAGGTAATATTCAGGATAGGTGATGTTGGAAATAAATTATATATATTGTTAGGTGGTCGATTAGGAGTTTATATGGAATTAGAGGAATACCAATATGAATTGAAAAAAATTAAAGATATTTTGTATTAATTCACTTATCTCTAGACCAAATGATCAATTCGGAGAAAATGCATTACATAATTAAAATTGTAAAAGAAATCAAACAATCATTGCTTTAGAACAAAGTACTATAGCTTATCTAACCAGATAAGACTATTAATCACTTATTGGTAAGTACAAGTCAGACAACCTAGATATAAAATTAAAACTATTAAATAAGTTAGATTGTTTTCAATCTTGGACGATTGGATAATTTAAAAGTTTTAGTTGCTATATGTTTTTATAAAATTTTTGTTTAAATGAAATAGTTTATAAAGAAAATGATGATTCATAATTTTTATATATTGTCTAAGATGGCCAATTTGAAATGATTAAGTCAATATAAGATGATAAATAATAACTAAGAAAAAGAACTAAAAGAATGTATGATTAATTTTAGATAATAGCTAAGTTGTGTACTAAATGAAGGTTAGATGTTTGGTGAAGAATCATTAATGAGATCATTAGAACAAGATCCATAAATTTTATCACCTATAACTAATTTTGTTTATATACAAAGATATTCTACTGTAAAATGCATGAGTATATGTGGTTCTTTGTTTAGAATATCAAGATAAGACATTATTGAAAGATGTTGGGATGAAATAACAAAATTATCATTTTTATCTCTTATAATCAAATTGAAAAATTTTAGATTGAAACGAGTAAATTTATTACAGCTTAACTAAGAATTCAATGAAAATCTTACTGATTTTGAAATAGGTAGAAAGCTTAGAAATAATTCAACTCAAACTTAAAAAAAAATTACATTAGAACCAATATTTACAAATACATATTTTAAAAAATATTTTGAGTAATAATAAGTGAAATCTAAGTCATCTAAAATTATGAGAAACAAGTTTTAAATAAGATTAAATTCAATTGATTAATCTTTAAATACATAAAATTCTCCAAAGATATCAATTTAACGAAAAGCATCATAATTTCATAAAATGTTATCATAAAGGTATCATAAAAGTACAAATAAACAAGATAGTAAATCATTTTCATTTGATTTTCCATCAAATAATGTTGGATACTAATATTATAAACAGTTTTTAACTAGTGAAAGAATAAAAAGTTTACATTGTTGAAGTGTTATTTAATTATAAGTTTCTATACTAAACTTGAATTTTATATATTTAATAAAAATATAATGATTACTACAATTCCTATTTCTCTTCATCAATCGACAGATCGTACAGGAACTACTTATCGATTTGAAAATCAAAAATAATAGAATATGAATCTATTACAAAGAGTGAAATAACATCTATAATATAAGTCAGCAACATTTAAGACAAAGAAATAATGTGTTATAGATTCATAATAATTGGACAAACATGTCGATGATGAATTAAATAATAGAAAATATATAACGACAATGGATAATGATGATATAAATCATTAGAAATTGATTGACGACTGTGTTAGAGATATATTAAAGTTTAATAAGCCAGTATCTGATGAAACTGACAAATCTCCTATGTTCAGAGGTAGTTAAAGATCATCTTTTTCTTAAATTGGAAAAGTTATACCAAAAAACAGAATCAAAAGATTATCTTCTACAATATTAGTTGGATAAATGGTTAAAAATAAAGGATTAGAAAAACCAACAATAAATTAAATAAAATAATAATAAATTGATAAAATTATAAAATTAGAAAGAGATAGAAAAAGTACAGAGACTAACCCAAAATCTCTTAAAATAATTTTACCCATTATTTTGACAAAAAATTAAGAAAGAGAATCTGTAAATTAACTTTAATAAAAACTAAGTATGGTTACTGCATCTTAGAGATATATGAAAACAAAAAAAAGGGTATTATCTTAAGATCCTTCTCCATTATTTGAACATCAAACAAGTTTTTCAATGATATCAGATTCATTTGATTGTAGTCCTAAATAATATGAATCAAATAGAAGACTTGGAACTTTGATACAATAATTAAATAACGAAAAAGATGAGATAACAACACATTAAAAGAGAATAAAAAATTCAATTTGTTAAAATTAAAAAAACTTCAATAAAATTGATGATAAATTACAACCTGAAAATTTAGAAAAATATAATTATCTAAAACATGAATAATAAATATTTGGAAAAGTGAAACAACGTAAAATTGTACTTTGATTTATTTATATTATTTATAAAATCTATTTAATTACTAATTTTAATCTCATTAGATCATAAATTAAACTAAGAATTGCATATTATAAATTTAAATAGAGATTCTTAAGTTTAAAGATAGTAAATAAATCAAAATAATAAAATAATTAAAATATAGTTCATCAAATTCAAAATTAAAAATTGCTTTACAAATCACAAATAATTGTGTTGAATTCTGAATAATTGGAATTATTTTTAGAATTAACACAATGAATATGACAGTAAAATATTTCTAAATTTTCTATCCGATATAATTTTAAATCAATCTTTTATTCATTAAGACTAAAAGTAAATCCATTTTAATAATTCTAATAATTATAAAAAATCTTACCTGCATTTGAATAAATTAATACTTTATCTCTAAATATTTTTGAATTCCTTTCAAAAATAATTAAGGATGCTTTTTAGTAATAAAAGAAAGATTATATGGACCATAATAATTTTCAATTCCTTTGACATCTTATAAATTTTATTTTTAATTTAATTTTAATGAGGAAGGAATACTAATATTATTGAGTCTAGAAGTGAATTTTTCGACCATAATCTTAGTATTTTCGATATTAGATTATGTATTTTCATTAAATTAAAATGCAAGATTTTCTTATATAGCAGATTATTGAGTATGAAAAGATTGTCTTTCCATTTAACTTGATGTTTATTTTGAATGCATTGAATTTTAGCTGAATTAATTTAAGTAATATTTAATTCAATAGGTGTTTTATTTAAATTTTAAGGTTAGGATGAATTAATTTATTATTTTTGTTATTAAAATTGTAATTATTAAGTTTATTATTATTTGGATTGATTGGGTTAAGTATTAAGAGAATGAGACTTTTCTTTATTTTCTTTTGATTATTCTTAAATAACAGTTAATTTGACAGAGGTATGGAATTTCTTTTAATGATTTCAGTTTTTAATTGATAATTTGTATATGTTGAATAAATAGATGGATTATTAATATCTTTTTTTGTACTTGGAGTATTAGGTAATTTAATAAATTTACTGTCTAAATTTTGAGGTTGATGTAAAGATTTAGAAGGTCCGGTTTTAGAGTGAGGTTTCTTTTTTTATAATTATTATTAAAATGGTTGTTATTAAGGTTTTTTTGGAATAAATTTATTAATTTATGTGATTTATTATTGAGTAGGGATTGATTATTTTTTTCGTAATAGTAATATTTTATGGTTTTAACGGAGAATCAATTTATGTTTATAGATGTTTAATAGATTAAATGGATTAACTTGATTTTTATCTTGTTAATGATTTCATAGACTATTAAAATTGATACTAATCTTGAACATTAAGTAATTATTAATCTAAACATTGATCAAATTACTCAGGGATAGGATTTAGAAAGATAGGATCTTAAATAATAGATTCTTCTTTAATATTAGATTTGTAAATAAAATCATCTTTATCTATGAATTGTATATCAATAGATTATTGAGCAGTATCACAACAAGTTTTGACATCTTCAGAAATATTTCTTTCAATATTTTTTTTGAGACAATAATTATATATGCTGTTAGGCAAAAGTGTACATGAGATTTTATTAATGGATGATTTAAAAGGAGTCATTTATACATTCTATATAAATATAAATAGATACTTCTGATTTCCAAATTTGCCACCACTTATGTTATTTTATTTACTCAATAGTAAAACGTTTAGTAGGGTCAACAGTGAGAATGTTCTTTATAAGGTCTTTTCCATCTAATGAAACATATCTTGGGTAAAACCTATGTATTATTATCCTCAAAAGGTAGATATCCACATAACATAGCATATAAAATAACTCCACAACTCCAAATATCTGTTTATAATCCATAATAAGGTTTTCCTTGTATCATTTCTGGAGCAGCATAACATGGACTGCCACAAGCTGTTTTGAGAGTATCTTCATACATGTTGCTAAGTCCAAAATCTACAACTAGAATATTCTTTTGAGTTGTCAAAAGCAGATTTTCTGGCTTTAAATCTCTATGTACTATTCTCAATTCATGAATATATTAAATAGCTGAAATTAATTCATGTAAGAATTTACATGCTTCAACTTTATTTATTCTAATGAGATTATTTTAAAAGTACCTTTTCTTTAAATCAATATAATCAAATAATTCTCCTCCATTTGCATATTCCATAAATAAATAAATATGAGTATCAGTTTCAATCATCTAAATATAAATAATTGAGAAACTTCATAGAGCTATACAACATTTGGATGATGCAGCATCTGTAATATTGTAATTTCTCTCTTTACTCTCTCAATATCTAATTCATCATTGATTCTTTTCTTTTCTAAAATCTTTACAGCCACATCATGAGCCAACACTTAATGTTTAGCATAACACACCTTTCCAAATGTTCCTTCTCCTATTGTTTTACCTTTAATGATAAATCACTTTATAATAAATACCTATCAGATAATTTCCCAATTCAGTCATAATAAATATTAATTTATTCAAATTCAAATATTATGGACACAGATTCTCTCCAACAACAACTATAACTCATTTACTAAACATTTAGTCTAGATTAATCAACATTCAAATTAATGTAGGAAATGACTAATAACTATATTTTAAATAATAAAACGAATGATTATATAGTNTCAGAAATATTTCTTTCAATATTTTTTTTGAGACAATAATTATATATGCTGTTAGGCAAAAGTGTACATGAGATTTTATTAATGGATGATTTAAAAGGAGTCATTTATACATTCTATATAAATATAAATAGATACTTCTGATTTCCAAATTTGCCACCACTTATGTTATTTTATTTACTCAATAGTAAAACGTTTAGTAGGGTCAACAGTGAGAATGTTCTTTATAAGGTCTTTTCCATCTAATGAAACATATCTTGGGTAAAACCTATGTATTATTATCCTCAAAAGGTAGATATCCACATAACATAGCATATAAAATAACTCCACAACTCCAAATATCTGTTTATAATCCATAATAAGGTTTTCCTTGTATCATTTCTGGAGCAGCATAACATGGACTGCCACAAGCTGTTTTGAGAGTATCTTCATACATGTTGCTAAGTCCAAAATCTACAACTAGAATATTCTTTTGAGTTGTCAAAAGCAGATTTTCTGGCTTTAAATCTCTATGTACTATTCTCAATTCATGAATATATTAAATAGCTGAAATTAATTCATGTAAGAATTTACATGCTTCAACTTTATTTATTCTAATGAGATTATTTTAAAAGTACCTTTTCTTTAAATCAATATAATCAAATAATTCTCCTCCATTTGCATATTCCATAAATAAATAAATATGAGTATCAGTTTCAATCATCTAAATATAAATAATTGAGAAACTTCATAGAGCTATACAACATTTGGATGATGCAGCATCTGTAATATTGTAATTTCTCTCTTTACTCTCTCAATATCTAATTCATCATTGATTCTTTTCTTTTCTAAAATCTTTACAGCCACATCATGAGCCAACACTTAATGTTTAGCATAACACACCTTTCCAAATGTTCCTTCTCCTATTGTTTTACCTTTAATGATAAATCACTTTATAATAAATACCTATCAGATAATTTCCCAATTCAGTCATAATAAATATTAATTTATTCAAATTCAAATATTATGGACACAGATTCTCTCCAACAACAACTATAACTCATTTACTAAACATTTAGTCTAGATTAATCAACATTCAAATTAATGTAGGAAATGACTAATAACTATATTTTAAATAATAAAACGAATGATTATATAGTCATTCCAAGAATAGCTTTATGGTTGGCATCAAAATAATAATAAATTGCTGCTATTGATGGCTCTATTGTCTATGGTTCAGGAATATCCATAAATTCAATTATTAATGATTGCTAAAATAAAGGAATCAATAATATTGATCAATTAATCGATGTGGCAATTAATATGGTTACAGACTTAAAAGTTGATTAAACATGTTTAAAAACTTTAACTCTTCTCAAACATAATAATTCAATTCTAAATATGTTTTATTAAAAAATGGAGGCACTTTTACTCCATTTCAAAATCAATGATTAAAATATTCTTATCAAAAATATCACTTGGCTACTTTTTCTAATTACAAAAAGTAAATATATTTTATATATTTTATTAGAATCTTTAAATTTACAAGATGTGGTCTAATCTACCTGCATTCTTATTTCAATTCTAACAATAATACTTAGTTAATTATTGAATTCCTTTACTACTACTAATAAAATGCTTTCAGATATTAAAAAATAAGCCACAGGAGAAGATGAATAATAATTACTAATACAACAATTTCTAATTAATCAATTCAAAATATAAGACATAGATTTATTCTCCTCTATTAATTTACAAACTAAACTTTAATATGCTGAATTAATTAAGCAAAATATTATTAAATAACTTAAGAATACTACTGGTCTTTCTATTTTCATGGCTAGTATTATTAATTCTAATTAATATAAATTAGATTAATAATATAAATAATTACTCAAATAAGATGAATTTGATGAAAGATTACTCATTCCTGATAGATAAAAGAATCTAACACCAAAAAAACTTACACCAAATCTTAATACTTTAAAATCAATTAATATTAAATAATTAGCTATGTAATCAAAGTGTGATTAAAGTAGAGAATTGTCATCATCTTCATCATAATAACAATAATAAAATCGTTATCAAAAACTATTAAATTATGAATTAGATACTAAAATTACACTTACAACCAATTTAAGAGAAATTAAATTACCATAAACTGTTTTAATGTCTCCTTATGCATAATAATCAATTGTAGCCACTCCAATGACTGAAGCTATGGAAATGTATAATTGGATACATGAAAAATAATAACCTTTTAAAAAATTGTTTAAAAATGGAATTTTAAATGTTAATTCAATTTTATCACACATTCCTCAAACATTACTTAATCTATAAAATTAATCCAAATTCTATGATTTGATAGATTAAACATTTAACGAATGTATTTAATATTGTCAAGAGAGCAATCTTATTGATGAAAATAAATCTAAAACTAATTAATATTGGACTTTATATATTTTATTACTAGATAAATCTAATTTCTAAATTGATGTATCTATGCTCAAAAGTTTAATATGTTTTTGTATAGAATGTGTTTATTTCATTTTAAATAAATAATCATAACTCTTAGATTAATTAATGTAGAAATGTGATATTCAACATTACTAACTTTGGAAATGGTTGGATTTCTTCTTAAATTAATTTGATACAAAAATACCACATTAACTAAAAGAACATATTCTAGATATTGAAGTTAAATTTGTATCCTATTCTATATGGGCTTGTGATAGTCAATCCGAATTGATCAAATTTCTTAATGAAATACATTTAAGTAGATACTAATAAAATAATAATTAAATGAATAGATTATTCAAACGAGTATTACATTATTGTGCATTTTAAATCTAAATTATTTGCAGCAATATTAAATTATAAGAATAATTATAGGAATATATTTGGATTACTATCAAATACATTATTAGTGAAAAAACTGATCATCTAAGACATCACTCTTTAGATTAAGTTGTTTTGGCTAGTATTTATGCTGTTACAAAATTAACAGGAAATTAACTAAAATTTTAATAGATTATTAATGCCTATGAAATCACAAACACATGGTATTCAAAGCAATTTATTAAAAAGATAGTCTGTAATACATATATTTCAAATGATAGTATGGGTATATTTATATTTTGATTCTTAGGTGACATTGTTTCCTATTATAATTAGAGTTTTATTCCTTAAATTAAATCCTTTATGTTATAAATGTCAAATGAAATTAAATCAAATAGTGTTCCATAATCTCCTATGAATAATAAAAATCCAGCTTTGAATAATAAAGTTTTAGATTCACCTCTAAGGGATATACTTCCAAAATAATAAAGTGTTACTTAAAATTTTTAATCCTAACATGCTGGCTTAATGACTCCTGCAACTTAATTATTATATGCATATTAGGAATCTCCTCTCTTAAAATAATAGGCCAAACCACAATAATAATTACCTTAATCAAAAGAAAATATGTATAACAATTCAAATATCAATAACAAAATTGATTATAGTTAAGAGACATAAGATTTCATCTTAAAAAAATGTATTAAAATTATATATAATTCTTATAGTTGAATAGCTAAAGAATAATAAAAGCAAATAAATTAATAGCAAAACTAGTTTTTCAATTTTATAGTAAGGAACTCCTAAAATTATGAATAGTAGCAGAACAAACAATAGTGCTATGTTATAACATAATTAAACTTAAAACAGTCAACAATCCAATGAACAAAACTCCACATTTTGTAAACTTTTAAACTTTGAATAATGATAATATATATAATAATTTCAAATAAAGATTAATAATATATTTATTATATTAATGATAGGAGTTGAAGAAAATTTAAAATAAAAAAGAGAGTTATTTCGGTTTTAGATAAGAAAATAAAATTTACGAAAGGAATTTGAAAAAAAAAGAATTATTGAAGTAAAAAATTTAGAAAATAAAAACTTTAATTTTAAAAATGATGAAATTTTAAATTAAATCACACATATTTTCGAAAGGTCTGTTGATTTAGATTCTATACAATAATGTTTGTGTTTAATTTTGAAACATTAAAACACCAAAGAAATATTGAAAAATACTTCATTTTTGAAGGATATCATTATAAACGAATTTTGTTAACGATAATTTGATGAAAATGTATACAAAAAAATGATATATCTAGACAATAGTAGTATATTTAAGATATTTTGATTGTTAATTACTTTTTGATGAGGTGGCTTACTTATATATAAAAAAATATGAAAAATAGTTTATGTTGACTCTATCTTAAATCTTAGCAATGAAAAGTTATTAAAATCTAGCAATTCTAGAGTTGATCATTAATATCTTATAATCCCTAATAATGGATGATATGTCAACTTTTAAATATTATTTAACAAAAGAAGGCTATGACTTTTTAACTCAATTTTAAAGAATAGTTAAATATGATGAATTTAAATTATTGCGAAATAATTTACTAGAATTTTATTATCATGCAATTAGATTTTATAAAAATGAAGATGTATCAGAAAAGGAACTAAATATTCTAATAGATTTTTATTTTTCTACTCTAAATTTCAAGAATACTGAGGAATTTATCAATTAGTTATTCTTGTATCTTAATTCAGGAAAAATGTTATTGAAATTATTAGAATTAAAAAGTTTTAATATTTCAAAAATCGTATAGTTACCATCTTATTTAGCCATCCTTATAAAGCTTAGCTATTTAAAAGGTGTAAAAGATGAAGAATGTTCAAAATATTATATAGTGAAAATATTTGGACATCTTTTTAGATCATTTCAATAATTGGATAATCCTATAGATATATTGATCGATATGGGATTGATGGATGTTTTAATAAGATTAATAATAAATGAAACCTGTTAAATAAGAACTTTAGGTTTATTGATTTTAAAGAATATTCTTGATTCTATAATTGAATTAGAATAATTAATGAATTTAATATATTATAAGTATTAATTTAAACAAATGGAAATATCGTTAATTAGTTGGTTAATTGATTGTTTAAATGATTAAGAATAGAATAATATATAAATAATGTTGGATGTAATTGACATAATTTTATAAAGAGCAACAACAGATGATAAAATTAAACTTATTCATCTAGGGTTGTTGGAAAGACTTATGGATTTGATTTAAATGAAAGTTGATGTATAGATTTAAATTCAAGTCATTCTTGTTTTAGAAACTTTCATTTCAGAAGATGCAGATATTTCAGCAGAATTTCTATAACTAATAATATAATCTTCAATTTAAAAGACTTTAGAATTTATAGGTTAAAAAACAAAAAATAACAGTTTATTTATGCAAATTGATCAATTCATTAAAATGTTTGAAAATAATTTTATGATTTAGTTTGCATGATTAAAAGTTTTGCTGAATAATAAAATATTATTTTATTTATAAAATAATTATGAATATAATTAAGGTTGGTCTGAAGTTTAGTTCAATTAAATACCCTTCACTAGATATTCATAATTATCAATTATATAAATATCATTCTGATTATGGGAATTTGTTAAAAGGCTTAAAAATAGGCACATCTTTAATGCCTAATCAATATGAGATTGTTCCATCCAAACTTAAAGGATTTTTGATAGATTAATTAAAAGAAGATCAATAAATATTAAAAAAGCCTAAAGAAGTTTTATTTGTTGGAAGATCAAATGTTGGAAAATCAAGTTTAATTAATGCAATATTAGGATAAAAAGTAGCTTTAACATCTAGCAAAACTGTAATTAATAATTGTATAATTTTAGGGTAGCACATTAAGATTATAATTTCATAACATTCAAAAAATCAATGGATATATAGTTGATAGTCCTGGTTATGGTTTTTCTAAGATAAATGTTGATGCATAAAAATATATGTAAGGAATGATATACACTTACACTAAATTATCATCAAGATTGTCAAGAATATATGTACTTATTGATATTGAACATGGTATTAAAGATAAAGATAAAGTTATGCTTAATATGTTGTAAGAATAAAATGTTAACATTTAAATTGTATTAACAAAATGTGATAAAATAAAAGAAAGAATGCTTTATGATAGATAATTATATCTAGCTAGAGAAATTAAATAATTTAAAAATATTCATCCAATCATTCACACAGTAAGCACATTAGATAATTTTGGAATTAATGATATCTAATATTCACTTATTGACTCATTTTTTGTTCATTAAAGCAGAAGTTTATTAAATATGGAAGACCGATTAATTAAACTTATATAAGCTAGAAATAGACCTTAAAAATTAGACTTAAATAAACTAACCAAATAATTTAAAAAAGGTTTATAATTGCCATCAAATGAAAATAGTCTAACACATACAAAAAAGCCTAAACATTAACTCTCTTGAAATAGATTGCTTTATCTAATGTATAATTTATCACTCTATTATCATTTCATTATCTTTAATTAATCAATTTCATTGTTATTTATAATAGTCTAACAAAATATTTTTAGTATGGTTTTTTTTCATATTTATGATTTTTTTAGAAAAAGCAAAATTCGTTTATGAATAGATTATACAGATTTAAAATTTTTAAATTAAACAAATATCTACTCTAATACATAATTTAGATTCAACTATTTTATGCTCAATTAGCTAGAAGTCGAATTATAGTTCTCTAATATGCTTATTCTTCTTCAGGGCATTAAAATAAGTTAGTATTTATGTTTCTCTTTTTACTAAATAATAGTTTTTCTATCTTAATCTGTTATTTTTTTGATATTGGTTTAGAATTGTTAACAGAAGATACTCTTAAACTATTTGATAATGGTGATTTAGTCATTTGAAATTTTGATTGTTCCTCACATTATATTTATTATGCTTAATTAAGTTGAGCGGTTTGATTTGAAGAATCCTTAAGCTACTACCTTTTAGTTGCAGCACAACCCATAAAATTTTAATATTTATAAAAATAATTCAGAAATCTAAAGCGTTATCTAGATTAATAATCAGCAAAGACATAATATTTCATAGATAGTAATTAATTCTTGTTTAAAATTAATAATAATACAATAAAATATAAATTTGCTTCTCCCCCTTAAAATGACAATAAAAACATACATTAAGTAGAATAACAAAATAATTTTTAAGATTTTTTTAAACAATAATTCTAAAGAGAAGACTAGTTTTATATATATATATATTTTAGATTATTCTGTCTGAGAATAAAAACTTATAATATTTCTTCTAATCTATCACTTTGTTACACTTTGTAGTATCCCAAAAAAGTTAGTGTCGTTTGGTTTTAAAGCCTAAAAATATAAGATAAAATACTACTTTCTAATTTTTTTTATTTTTCTTTTTCTTTTTATTTTTATTTGGAGATTTAGTTTCTTCAACCTATTCTTCTCCTTGATCATTATCACTATCTAAATGAATATCTTCATTTTTTTCTTCATTCTCATTTGAATTATAAATAGTTTAATTAATATTTTAAGAAACTTGAGCTGCCTCTTCAAAATGGTCATCATTAGTTATATTCAAATTATTTGATGCTTCTTCATAATCTGACTTTTACTTCACTTCATAAATTACATATTAATCATTTTTTTATTTTGTATTTCCCTTATAAGATCTTTTTTAATTGTAGTGATTATTATTATTATTATTAGTATTATTATAATTTTGATAGTTTTAATTGTTTCTATAATCTTTATGCGATTCTTTTTCTTCATAAAAAACTTTATTTTTATCAGATGTTTATTTTTCTGTATATTCGTAATCTGCATTTGAATAATATTTTTAATTTTGATAAGGATCTTTTGCTGAATGTTATTCATTTCGATATTTATGAGATTTATAATTGGATTGTTTTTCTTCTTTGTATTCTCTGTAATCCTCATCATAATCATATTATTCATTATAATTATTGTTATACTTTCTAAATTTTTAATTTTATTATTTATTAAAGTCTTTCTTTTCATATATTTATTTGTTTTATCGATCGTTTATTTCTTATTCTTATTCTTAATCTTACACATCTTAAATGTTGTCTTTTTATTTATATATATAATTTTGATCATTTTGAACTTTGTCAATACTTTAAAAATCTTATTTGCTACCATTATCGGATTTATCATTACAATCTTATTATGAATTACTCACTTTAGAACTCATTGCACTTCTTTAAAATAAAGGACCAGATGATGTTACTTTTTTATCTAAATATTTTTTTTTTGCATAATAATCAGATAATGGTTCATTAGGATATTAGGGATAGTAAATTGATAAGTTAGAATCAGCAATATGGATCTTAATTAATTAAAAAAATAATACTTTAAATTTATGATCTTCTAATATCAACAATCCAATTTTGGGAGAAATTAATAAATCAATCTAGTTTATATCATTTCTTAGAAATGCCTTAATATTTTAATATTGTTTTTCAAAATATTCTTTAACAGCTTCTAAATTATCATTTTTATTTTAAGGCTTAACTTTTAAAAGTATTTCTTAATTTGTTGTTTCAAACAAAGCATCATATGTTTCATCATATTGACCTATATAATTAGATTTTGATTACTTTTATTTTATCTATTATTATGTCTATTATTTCCTTTGTTCTAATTTGTATTATTTTGTCTATAATTTTTTAAACCATTATTATCATTGTCTCTTTATTTATTATTTTTTTATCTATCACTTCTTGTCTTAGGTTAAAATTCTGATATAGATTTTGTTAAAGATAGTTAAGAAGGAATCTCGTTTTTGTCTAGAGTTTCTGAATTAGTTGTGAATTAACAATTTTCAATTTCATCGTCTTCTTCTTCAGCCAATTGAGCCCATGTTTTCTTACTAGAACTTAATTATTCGGTTGTCATATTTGATTAAACTTATTTTATGTAAATTATAGAATAATTAATCTCAGTTAAATTAATGACATGAACAATTCAAGATTAAAATCTCCATTACATTTTTTATTCCCTCTAAAATATCATTTATTTAGAAAATATTTATGTACATTTATAAGGTTGATGATAAATTTATATATAATATTTGAATAACATATAATTGACAAAATCAGATTTGATCTTCGTCAAAATTGATTGACATTTCTCTATAATTAAGGAATTATTTCTTCCTCATATCTAGAGTAATTCTTATTCCAACAATTCAGTAAAGTTGTAGATTGAGAAGTCAATTTACTTTATTAACTGATATATTGAATGTCGTCATTTAGGATATCTTCTGAAATGTTGTCCATAGTATAGGCTAACAAAATATCTTTTAATGTTAGTCCAACTTAAGGAGTTGTAATTTCAACAATAACTTTACTTCCTTTATTATACCATTTTGGATAATCTATGATATAAATAAATATCTTACGTTCCATTTACTCTGATAAATCAGAAACAGAACTCATAAAAGCAAAACTTTCCTTGAAAGTTGGGAACCCAAATTCTCTCTTGATGACTGTCATTTATGGGTTGAATTGCCATTAATCAGACAGCTATTGAATTTCTTTGAGTTGATTTATGTGTTCTGAGTTCAATTTAGAGGTTGCTAACTTTGAAACATCTTTAAAGTCTTTGATAAAAACTTTTATTTAATCCATGATTAAATGATTTTATGTAAATGATGAAATATATCTATACATGTTTATATTAATTATTTTAATTATTAAAATTCAATCGATTTCTTGAGGTATTTAAACCTATAAAATGCGTGTTATTAAAATCTGATTAATTATGATATGATTTAATATCAATATATTTTAACTGTTAAAATCTGATCAAAAATATGATAGAAAACTACTCTGTTTTAAAATTTACAAAAATAATAACGAAAGCTATATTGTAATATATATATATATGTTATCAAAGTTAAACTATATTCTTTTGGAAACCTTAGAACAACTCTTCGGTTTTAGTATAATTTGAATTCCAATTATTCAACAATTGATTTGTAGATACCTTAAGAGTATCACAAACAGTTTCAACTGTTTAATTTTCTACATCATTTGCAATATTATCCATTGTATAAGCTAATAAAATATCTTTGACTGATATTCCTCTACAATCCTAAGTTGTCATTTCGACAGTCACTTTATTTCCTTTTTATACCCATTTTGGGAAATCTAAATATGAAATAAAGAATTACGTTGCATTTAATCTGCAACTTTGGAGACTGATCCCATGAAAACAAAAGTTTACTTGAAATTAGTAAATTTAAATTCTTTTATAAGTTTTGTAAAATCTTTGCTCTATTGCCATTATAATGAATGAATTTCCATGGCTTAGCTAATTTCTTCTGTATTTAATTTCGAAACAGAAATTTAAGGAACATCAGAGAAATCTCTTACGAAAATTTTAATGGAATTGATCAAGGCGGGTGTTCTGAAGCCAAGCTCATTTGAGACATATCTGTACATGATAATTAGATAATTTAATTAATATTTTATTATGAAATTCCATCTAGCTTATCAAATTCTTAAAAGTACGAACCATTTTAATTCCAACGTAACAAATGTGAAGAATTAATTAATCGGTTATTTTTAAATATAATGAAATAAATCATAGTTATATAGAACATCAAATATTCAGGATGAAATTACAATAATTTATTCCATTAAGAATAAATGAGAAAGTGTAGTTTTAAGTGAATTTATCAAGAAATAATAGAGATTTTTTTTTAATCATTAAAAGTAAATTACAATTTATTGATTATATATCGAATAAAATATTTTGGTTTTATAATATCTATCAATTTTCATTTATATATAAACTTTTTGTTTATTTTTTTAGTATNCAGACAGCTATTGAATTTCTTTGAGTTGATTTATGTGTTCTGAGTTCAATTTAGAGGTTGCTAACTTTGAAACATCTTTAAAGTCTTTGATAAAAACTTTTATTTAATCCATGATTAAATGATTTTATGTAAATGATGAAATATATCTATACATGTTTATATTAATTATTTTAATTATTAAAATTCAATCGATTTCTTGAGGTATTTAAACCTATAAAATGCGTGTTATTAAAATCTGATTAATTATGATATGATTTAATATCAATATATTTTAACTGTTAAAATCTGATCAAAAATATGATAGAAAACTACTCTGTTTTAAAATTTACAAAAATAATAACGAAAGCTATATTGTAATATATATATATATGTTATCAAAGTTAAACTATATTCTTTTGGAAACCTTAGAACAACTCTTCGGTTTTAGTATAATTTGAATTCCAATTATTCAACAATTGATTTGTAGATACCTTAAGAGTATCACAAACAGTTTCAACTGTTTAATTTTCTACATCATTTGCAATATTATCCATTGTATAAGCTAATAAAATATCTTTGACTGATATTCCTCTACAATCCTAAGTTGTCATTTCGACAGTCACTTTATTTCCTTTTTATACCCATTTTGGGAAATCTAAATATGAAATAAAGAATTACGTTGCATTTAATCTGCAACTTTGGAGACTGATCCCATGAAAACAAAAGTTTACTTGAAATTAGTAAATTTAAATTCTTTTATAAGTTTTGTAAAATCTTTGCTCTATTGCCATTATAATGAATGAATTTCCATGGCTTAGCTAATTTCTTCTGTATTTAATTTCGAAACAGAAATTTAAGGAACATCAGAGAAATCTCTTACGAAAATTTTAATGGAATTGATCAAGGCGGGTGTTCTGAAGCCAAGCTCATTTGAGACATATCTGTACATGATAATTAGATAATTTAATTAATATTTTATTATGAAATTCCATCTAGCTTATCAAATTCTTAAAAGTACGAACCATTTTAATTCCAACGTAACAAATGTGAAGAATTAATTAATCGGTTATTTTTAAATATAATGAAATAAATCATAGTTATATAGAACATCAAATATTCAGGATGAAATTACAATAATTTATTCCATTAAGAATAAATGAGAAAGTGTAGTTTTAAGTGAATTTATCAAGAAATAATAGAGATTTTTTTTTAATCATTAAAAGTAAATTACAATTTATTGATTATATATCGAATAAAATATTTTGGTTTTATAATATCTATCAATTTTCATTTATATATAAACTTTTTGTTTATTTTTTTAGTATCATGGTGATTAAAAAAAATAATAAGAAAATAAAAAGACTTAATTTAAATAAACTATAAATAATTATTTTTATTAAATTAAGCGTCATTATATAAATTATTCGAATAAAATATATTATTTTATAAGTATTTAAATAAATTAGAGTATTTATTGGAGTGACGCATTTTCATATCTTAAATATTTAAATTATTTTAAAAAAGAAATGGACAAGTTGTAAATCGGTATTAGAGCTGAAGATAAGTCTTACTGGGAAAGAAGAACTCCAATTCCTCCTAATGATTGTAAATATATAATGGAAAAAGTAATTCAATATTGTATGAACTTAGCATCCACAAATTTAAATAGTGGTATAGCCATCAACAAAAAGAATATTTACAGATGAATAATATTTGGAAGTTGGATGTTTAGTTTAAGAAGACTTATCTCAATGCAAAGCTATAGTTTGCATAAAAGAAATTCCACTTGAGAAATATATTGAAGGAATGACATATTTACATTGGTCTCATACAATAAAAGCATAGCCACATAACATGCCTGCACTTGATATGATGTTAAAGAAAAATGTTAGACATTTAGATTATGAAAGAATTTATGATGAAAAAGTAATGATTAAAATTTAAATAATATAGGGTGTAAATACAACTGCATTTCCATATGCAGGAATAGCAGGAATAATTACATTTTTGAATGAATATGGAAAATTTTAATTAAAAAGAGATATTGCCACACCATTCTTATAAATAGGTCCAACATATTAATATTTTAATAAAAAAGATGCTTATTAAGCACTTAAAGTGGCTGGATAAGCAATAAAAGAAAGAGGATTACCAAAGGAAGCTGGATTGCCAATAATTATTGGTGTTTTAGGCTCTTCTGGTTTATGTGGTAAAGGTTCAATGGAAGCTTTATAAAATCTTCATGTTACAATAGTTAAACCTTCAGAATTAAAAGAACTAGTTAATACTCCCAATGATCCAAAACATAGAAGAACAGTATATGTGTGTCCATTCAAAACAACTGATTTAGTTAGACATTAAGAAGATTATGATAAAGAATTTACTTCATAAGATTATTATAATCATCCAAATTAATATACGCCTGTTTTCCATACTAAATATTTACCATATTTAACAATTATTGTTAATGATATTTATTGGGACCATAAATTCCCTAGATATGTAACAAATTCACAAATGAAAGTATTTTGATTTCTAAATAATGTTAGGATTTAGTTTAATCAGGTAAAAGTAGATTATAAGCTGTATGTGATGTTACATGTGATATGGAAGGATCGATTCAATTCTTAAAGAAATATACAACACCTGATAATCCTGTTTATTTTTATGAACCAATATCTGAATCAATTCATGATGAATTTGATCCTAAATCTCCAAAAGACATCATGTATATGTCTATAGACTTTCTACCTTCATAATTACCTTATGATGCCAGCATTGATTTTGGAATTGCATTAAGAGATATTGTTCCTTATCTTGCTTACTCAGATTCAACTAAATCACTTGAAGAAAGTGGTTTACCTGTATTCTTACAAAATGCTACAATTACATTGCATGGATAACTCACTCATAAATTTTAATATATTACTCATTTAAGAAATATTAATGATTAATTAAAAGAAGCTGAAAGTTTCTAACCTAAAAAAGCTTTAAAAAAGGTTCCTTCTTATTTGGCTATTAAATTAACTGGACATTTATTTGACACTGGTGCTATTAATAAAATCTTATCATTAGTTTAATCGTAATTATATTATTTTATTCTTTTAGTGGTTGTAAATTTAACATTGTAGATATTTAAGCTGGATAATCTGATAATTAATCAACTTCTTGTTTGCTTTAATTATACAGTAAAAACAAAGGATAACTAATGGATGAGGTTGATAAAGTTATTCAATTATGTGAAACCTTAGATATCTAAGTTGATATGGAATGATTAAGATTATACATTTAAAAAGATCTATATTACAATCAATCTTTATAAATTAAGTTTAAAAAAAAATATTATATGTCAAGAAACAAAATTGTTTTATTTTATAATGAAATAAAGTTTCACATCAATATTATATTATGCTAATCATTAATTTTCTCCTTAAGGTAATATTAATCCTTTTTTATTGGTTCTTATGAACCCTTTTTTATTCTTATAAAATTTACTAAACTTTTTTATTTTTTTCTTTATTATTGGTACTTTATCTTTAATAAGTTCTAATGTTTAAGTATTTTTGCACTCAATACATTTACAAAGATTATTGCATTACATTCCTTTTGCAAAACAATCACAATAACCTTTCAAACAAAAATTCTTTTTACATTTACATCCTTTTTTTTCATTTATTAAAGATCTTTGCAATTATTAACTGATGAAAGATTTATTATTATTGCAATTAACACATTTACATAGATTTGAACATGAAAAACCATCTTTAGCACAAAAACAATACTTAGAAGAACATTTTCTTTTAGTGCATGTACACCCTACCTTTTTTTTTTTATATTTTTGCTGATCTGTTAAATCCAATTCTGTTTTAGGTT